AAGATAGTTTTCTTGAAAATGATATTAGAGTTCTATTCACATCAAACATCATAGGTTAATTATGAATACAAAAGAGTTGATAATAGGTTAATAAATCAAAATGGATTTATGATTTGAGTGTCACTCATATGTTGACGTTGGATACCAACAGTAAATTAAATGATGATTTCACTGAAGCTTTATTAATAGTTTATTCAACTATTTTTGTAATACAAAGTGTAGTTTTTCAATTAAATTCCTAATTATTAAAAAAATTTGATCCGTATGAAAATACGTTTCTAGTATTAATCTGTAAAATTATGTTCAATATTACGATAGTATATAGTATGGAGTATTAGATTTATTGTGTTTGAGATCCTGCTTGTAAAATTGGATAATGTATAATTGAAAATAAATATGTAGTTTAAAAAGAATGATAACCAAAGGATCATCTTAATCATTAAAATTAAGCAGGACAAAAAAACATTTTATATGAAAAGCATTCTTAATTATGGGTATAAATAGTTTGAACTTAGAATTATTGCTAATTTGCCAAGTTAGAATTCGCAAGTAGTACAAATTATAATCTTAAGTGATTTCCTAAGATATTTATAATTAGTATTGGGTTATAATCAAATATCATACACGTAAGTTTATAAAGGCAGTATAGAGACTGATAAAAGGGATTCAAACTCATCTAAAAATAAATTATGTTCTAAAACTGAAAAATATGCATGAGAAATTAATGGCTTCGATTTATAATATTATGATTCAATTGAATTTCAATCAATCATATAGTAGTATTACAATAAGTTGAACTATATGCTTATATCTATGTACTAATGTATTGTACTAATGAAATAAATTTGAAAGTTATAAAATGTAAGGACTTGGATTTAAACAATTGGAGCTAAACTAGTGATGGTTATTGGTTAATATAAACGATGAATTGAACTTGAAAATTTGTAAGACCAATTACATATAAAAATGATAAATGTTGTGGTGCAATTTATAATGAAGTCAATTTAACAGTAATGTTGTACGTATAAAAATCTATATTAGAAATTACAAAGATGATCAATAAGTACGAGAGTATTTACATAAACACAATCTCGAATATAATATCATTATATTTTACTCCTATTTGTTATAATGATACTATTTTGAATCGGAAAATAGTAGTTATGGTTATAATAATATTAATGATACACACTTCATTTAAATGAATAAAATAGAATGGGATTTGAAACCTTGTTTCTGGATTTGGATAGGTTGGCATGCCAATAGGGATAATAAACACGGCCGTAGAATTGATCAATGATTTCGGGTCCGTAGCCACCGAGTGGACAACACCCAAATCTTGATATTTGATACACGCGCGCTTCTATACGGGTCCGTAGCCACCGAGTGGACAGTACCCAAATATGTTCGTTTAAGGGTCCGTAGCCACCGAGTGGACAGTACCCAAACCAACCCAAACCGGCCAAAGCCACCGAGTGGTCCATGCCAAAATAGTTCTCTGATGGTCCGTAGCCACCGAGTGGACAGTACCAAAGTTGAGAACATCCCGTTTATCCAGTCCATTAAATTAAGGAGTAGAATTCCATAAAATTAATAATCGAATAACGGTGTGAAAAAGAAAATAGAAAGATTGTCAATGAGCAGACGATAAAAATTGAGCTATTGGAAGTTAAAGTGAGACAAGAAGAATGCCGAATGGAATATTGAATTGCAGCTATGATATTGCTCATGTGAACTTGGATTATGATATGAAGATGTGAAAATGAAGGCAGAGAGAATGAAAAGGGGAAAATGTGGAAAATAGAATTTTGAGAAATGAAAGAACGATATGAATATAAAAATGAAAGACCATAGGAGAATGTCATATTACATTCAATTGAAGAATTAGATCTTACTCATGAATTATTTATTCCGAAATAAGCTAATGTTGAAAATGAGGGACAATGGGATAAATTATTGATTAAAATAAAGTTATGATATTACGCTTAATATCCTGATAAGAAATGTATATTTATATCGCTCCATATGTTATAAATAAAATTATGATATATTAACAACTCAATTAAAGAGTAGAGTTTTAATCAGGATATTGTATATTTTGAAATACATTAAAATAACTACTTTGAACAAAGTGAAATAAATTGAACTAGCCACTACGAATGAAATGGTATTACATGTTTCAAAATAATTATGTTGATCCATTCCATATCATTCCCGATAAATAAAGTTTAATACACAAATGTTATAAAGGAGTTGTATTACATATTCAATATGGACTAATAGATATTAAGGATTTTATATTGAATGTTGTTTATAAGCTAATACCGAATTGAGTTAGTTATGATTATAAACTTTTGAGATATCACAGAGTGGATTTTGTTTATTATTATTAAATGAATTGAAAAGCTATTTGAAATAAAATGTATTATTTTGATATTTATTAGTCAAATGGGTAAAATTAAATCTGGTTAAGTTTATATTTTTCAATTTAATATATTTGTGGTCATTATTAATTGTTGATTTACTATGTGATATTTGATACTGAAATTGTATCGAGAAAGAATGAATACCACTAAGCAAGATTTGCTTATCGCGTTGGATTTTTGTCCTTCGCGTAGGTACGTAGTCGGTACGAGGCAAAATTCAAGGAGGAAAACATTTGGGAGCAACCTGCCAATCAGCACAGAGTCACACTTGCATTTAGTAATACCTCATTTTAGTTTGCATAAATAATATGTAGTCAACATGCTAGTATAATGTAACAACAACACAAACCTTTAAGTGTTATGTATAAAATATGGATGCTTCCACAATTATGATTTTTCATAAAGTTATTATCACTTGCTCGTTTTTAAACTAAAAATATTTTTGGAATAATGAAAACGAATGATATGGAAAAGTCAGTCAATGCTTTGGTGCTCCGGCACTGCGGGTAGCGCTCCCTGCCCTAGCCTTCCGGGTCGGGTAGGGGGTGTTACAATCACATAAATGTAATCCTTGAAGGTCTTCCGGAGGAATATGACTCAATCGTATCCTCCATTACATCTAGAAGCATTCTGGATCCTGTAACAGTGTCTGAACTTGAATCCCTCTTGTTGGCTAAAGAGTTGCGAATAAGAAAACTTCGTGACTCTTCGCAGCAGACATTATTCTCTGCTAATGTTGCTCAACTTGAAGAAGCTCCATCTGCACAAAACACTAACACCGATTCTCAAAACTCTACTGAAAGTCCATCTGCACACCTTGCTGAGTATGATAATTCTGGTACAAATTCTACCTATAGAGGTAGAGGTCGTGGCGGTTTTAACAGAGGTAGAGGTGGTAGATCTGAAGGTCGCAGTTCTGTTATCTGTCAAGTTTGCAGTAAAGTTGGTCATAGTGCTCTTGTTTGCTATCACAGGTATAATCCTGCCTATACAGTTTCCAATTCTACCTCATTAAATCAATCTATAAATCCTTATCACTCATATCCACAACAACCTATCCCATATCCAAATCAATCTCTATCCCAATCATCTCAACATAACTACTATCCTATGTCTAATCCTTATCCACACTCACAATCAACTCCATCAATACTAAGCTACTCTCCTATGCCTAATCCCATTCAACCTCCTCAACATACCAACATGGGATTTATCAACCATCCTGTCATACATCCACCTCAAAATCAGACTGTACCAACTGTACCAACTGCAGCCTGGGCTTCTGCAAATTCTTCTTTGCTAGGACCAGCTCCTAATGCTCAGAATTGGTTTCCAGATTCTGGAGCTTCACACCATGTCACACCTCATCCCCTTAACATTCAACATAGTGAGCCACTTGCTACAACTGACTTATACTAATACAATTCGTATAGTATATCTAACAGCTCCTAACAGAATTGCTGCCAGAAATCTCGTGTGGTTAAGTGTGGGTAACTGAGAATATTCCCTAGTGACGTGGCGTTTTCCCCTTGTGAGGTAGATCCTTGCGGATTTTGTCTAAGTCCATGATGCGTTATTCAGACCTTGGGGTTCACCGGGGTCGATGTTCAGAAGCTCGGGCTCGTGATGGGAGGACTCGCCCCCCTTTGTCCTCTGTTCCTACCTTTGAGGCTTTTGACTGCCTGGTGCTCTGATCATTGTTGACCAAGTGTTTGACTTCCGGGGTCAGATCTGGTACCGACCTCGGGTGCATCGATGTCGGGCTCATAACTTACTGAGTTCGGTTGATTCCTGAGCCTGTTGTTTTTCCGACCTCGGGGTCGGGGTCGGGGTCGGCCGACTTCATCATCCGTTGAGTCTGGCTGATTTCTGAGCTTGGTGTTTTCCTGACCTTGGCGGTCAGGGACAGTCTTGGAGTGTGGACTTAGTATTTTGCGCCCTTGATGGACCTGCAATGCTTCCCACCGCCGATTATGCTACCTCTGGGGTATGTGGGATTATACTCCATCAGCCATATTTTATTAGATTCACATATTGAAATTCATTTCAATATGATTTAGCAATCATTTCGGTGCAAAGATTTCTATTACTCCGTATCTCTGTTCTAAAAATCGTTCTAGGCGACCGATTAGTCCCCGCCTAGGCGCTAGGCGGTGGTCGGGTGCCCTGATTTTCGTCTAGGCGCTCCGATTAATTGGTTAGCCATCTAGGTGAATTAGTGAGTCGCTCATGGTGCCTAGTTGCCCTCCTAGAGCGCCTTGGTCGTCTAGATTTGTCGAACATTACTTTACTTTTTAATTTTAAATTTCTAAGCGCTATACGTACTTTAACTTTAGCCATGGATATAAAGAAATAAAGTTGTAAATTAAGATAAACCTATATATGTTTATACATATACCCAAATTTTATCATTATTTATATTTATAATTAATGAAGTTAACTGATTAGTTGTCATATACTACATATGATTAAAGGAGATAATTATGTCATTCATATTTGTTTATGCAAAAATATAGATAGAAATGCAATTTCTATGTCACCCACTAGTCTCCACTAGGCACAAGAACACGACCAGCCCCTAGAGCCTTTTATAACATTGCTCAGTATAATATAGCTTCCATTTATGTAGGCCCAAACCGACCATTTAGAGTTTGAAGTAGATGCTTTGCTTCATTTGCTAATCGATTAGTGAGCCAAGCAAAGTCTGCAAAAGTGATTTTTGTTTGTTCACACACTATACCGCTCACTATGAATCGAAGACCTCCCATAAGACTCCTCCGTGTTCCAACTTCCTACTTGGTTCTTGTAGTTAGATTACGCATGAGCTGACGCTGCTGCTTATATAACATATTAACATGCACACCTTTTTCGCCATCTTATCACCACAACCTTCTCATGGGGCATTGACCCACATTTCAGCCATAAATCTTCTATGGGTAATTAAATGTCAGCCTTTCTTTGTTGATCAATTTTGTTGTTATTTCTTCTGTATGGAGTATATGGACAATAAAAGATTGGTGAATTGATGTCTGATTTATTCTTATCCATACACATTAATTGTAATACTGCTATGTTTTCTGAAGATCAGAGCGAGTTCAGTACTCATCAATTCGTATAGGCACTTTCTGTTTCTCAATGCTGGAGCCAGTGTGCACTAATTTTCCAGCATCATTTATGTAAGTTCTTGTGTAATTTATTGGCAGGCTCCTAGCAACAAGAGATCTTTTATTCCTTCACCTCACACGACCGGTGGGATCAATGAATTTCAAAACTTGTCCAAGGAAGTTTGTTCTAGTCCAGCATCCGGGGTTAGAAATATCATATGGGTATGTTAGACACTTCTATTTTACACAATGAAGCAAAGAGTTGGAAAAAAATTCCATCCAATTCTAATCATGTCCTGTTTGATTCATTTCCTGTGTTGTGGTGTATGCTAATAGTTTTGTGCTCATGCAATAAAAAAAATCACAACATTTGACACTTAAATTGGTTACTATTTAGTAAAGTATTTATGTACCATTGAATCTCATGAACTTTAGGTTGAGCATCAAACATTCTTTGTTATTTTTTCATCTTCTCTTCAGTTGGAACAACTGAGCAAGAACAGTTTACTTTCTCAAAACAATTTCCTCACTCTTCAATGGCTGCACTGAGTTTAGGATTTCACATAAAGTAATGGTTTAGTTCATTTCCAGCTACAGAGGAAGTGCAGTTCAAGCATTTCATCAATCTTGACTGATGGCAGTTCAACCATGGCTGATGCTGAGAAAGAAATTGAAAGTATCCACCTTCTTAGCCTGGACCACGGATTGCAACCATATGGAGATCACTTTAGATATAGAATGAAGAAGTATGTCCACTGGAAAAGGATATTAGAAAATAATGAAGGAGGTCTTGAGGAATTTTCTCTAGGTAATGCTGACCCTTTTTAACCCAGGTTTTATATGTGGATTCATGTTAGCTGACCCCAAACTCTTTTGGGACTAAGGCCTGGATGATGATGGTGTTGTTGTTTTAATGCTGAACCCATTGGGTTGGAGGTCATTTTTTATGCCCCCTTCAAAATCTGTATGAGATTTACTAAAATTGCATTTCAAGAATGTTATTGTTCACTATTTACCAATGGTATGAAAATCTGTGTTACATCTAAATATCTATTTGATACGCTGGAAGTTTCATAGAGTTAGAGTATGTTTGGAACCCAGAATGTATACTATTGAAAGAACTAGAGTGACAAATAGAGAGGAGAACGGGGAGGAGTAAAAAAAATGTAAAATTCCAAAACAAGAGCACTATGTTTCCCCCCGAAATAGGAGTTAATTATTGCCTTTAATCATACTGCCATATTTTGGCATTAAGAGGCATTAATATGACATTATTAATCCCATAATTGGCCATATTTTTACCACATGTCGGTAATCACTTTTATTTAGGAAAACAAAACGTAGTACTCATTTTTTGGAATTTCACATTATTTTACTCCTATTTAGGATTATTTCTTACAACTTATTATGGTTATTTGTTCAAAATCATTTTATTTAGTTATTTATTACTTCTATTATATATAGTCTAAGATATCTTAATACTATGTGTTTTTTTACAAATTAGTTATTAGATCATATTTCATTTTCTTTGCATTAATTAAAGCATAGCCTAACATAAGAAAATACCTTCCCTAAACACTTTCTCTTTCCCTAGAAGTCCTAGAACTTGAATCCAAACATACCTTTCATGCTCTCCACTTTCATTATAATACGGAGTATAAATTTGTTAGCTCAAATGTATCCATTTGTATGTAGGGTGTGCATATATAACTTACTTCAAATGGCTTCCCTCCGCTGCAGGATATTTGAAATTCGGGTTTACCAAAGGAAATGGTTGCATCGTCTATCGGGAATGGGCTCCTGCAGCTCAGTAAGTTATATTGGTTATCAGAGGCCATGCCCAGTTGCCAAGTACTATATGTACAACGTTTGTACAATAATTTCTGTTAATCACACATGAGTCGATTGAAATATGAGCAAAATGGATAAACAAATAAACCTAAAATATGAGGAAGTTAGGTGCGGAAATGTTAGGACTTTGGGTGATTTAAATATTAATCCCGATAGGGATTTCTCTCAGGTGTATGTCAGGAGGGCTAAAAGGGGAAATAGGGGCGTAACTAATTAGATAAGAAGGGGACCCAGTAAAGGGAATAAATAGCGTAGTGAAAGGAGAGATGAGATAGGCTGAAAATTCAGTTTGGACTTGGAGAGCATGACACTCTCGAATTGCCTGGACTTTTTTTTCTTTTTCTCGATCACTGTCTCTCAGTTCTTATCTGTAATTCAGATAACATTTGCTCTATTTCATTCATATTACCTTGTTATTATTCTAGAAATCCGTGTGTTCTAACATTGGTATCATAGCACTTTCCGCTGGGCTTGTGGATGGTTGTCACGCGAGCAAGCATGGAACAACAGATGGACCACATGGAGCGAGTATACTCTGAGATGCGAACAGACATGGATGCCAGGATGCGGACGACGATGGATGCGATCGAGAAACTCACTGTTCATCATGAGCGACAGAAACCCAGGGGTCGATCGAGGACTGTACGATGACCAACACCCTTAGAAAATAAGGAGGCACCTCGTTCACCCAGGGGTTGAATGAATCTCAGTCGGCTTCTTACGTTCATGAGAATACGAGGGTCAGCGATCGTATATATATCGGTAGGAAAGTGGAATTACCCGTTTTCAATGGTATTGATGCTTATGGGTGGATTATCAAAGCAGAACATTATTTTAAACTGAACCAGGTGTCTGAGTCTGATAAGGTGCAAGTTGTTCTGATAGCCATGGCCGATAAGGCTTTGAATTGGTACTAGTGGTGGGATGAGCAGACTGGAATGAAAATTTTAAAGATGCACTGATCCGGAGGTTTCAACCGGAAATGGTACAAAACCCGTTCGGTCCTATGTTGAGTATTAAGCACACCGGGTCAGTCATGGAATACCGAGACCAGTTCGAACTTGTAGTAGCACCGATGAAGAATACAGACCGGGAGATTTTAAAAGGAGTGTTCCTAAATGGGCTAAAAGATGAGATAAGAGCCGAATTAAAGCTATATCAATCCAGTGGGATAACAGAACTCATGGATAAGGCTTTGCTAGTTGAAGTGAAAAATTGGGCGTTAAGGGCGGTCGAATCAGAGAAGATGATAGGAGAGTTTGGAAGTATAAAGGGGGAATTGGTACCAAGCAGCTGAACTGGGCAGAAGGAATGAAGAGTAAAAACCAAAGTAATACTTCCCAGCATAATGAGAGGACCCTCGCAGTAAACACCAGGGAAGAGACCTCAACACTTCCATAGAAGTGGCACAGTAGCAGGATATTGACTCCATCTGAGCTGGAAGATAGGAGTAAGAGGGGATTGTGCTTTAAATGTGGTGACAAGTGGAACAAGGAGCATATATGCAAAATGAGACACCACCAGATACTCTTGTGGGAACCTGCAGAAGAAGATGAGCAAGAGTCAAACCACCTCGCTGAAGCAGAAGTGGAGGTGGAAGGGGAACCGAAAGTAATGCAATTATCTGTGCTAGCAAGAGGGGTATTACCACTCCTAGAACATTCATTGTGCAGGGAATGCTGCAGGTTCAGTAGAAATGCCAGCCCGTAAGAGTGCTCATTGATTCTGGGGCAACCCACATTTTTGTATCTCACAGGTTGGTGGAGGATTTGGAACTACCTGATGAGGGAAATCACCATTTCCATGTTGAGTTGGGGAATGGGGACAAGATGACCAATCAAGGAATGTGTAGAGGCTTGCAGGTAGGGGTACAAGGGGTGATGATTATTCAAGACTTTTATTTTTTGGAGCTGGGAGGGACAGATCTGGTGCTGGGAATGGAGTGGTTGGTCAGTTTGGGAAACATTAAGGTAAACTTCAGAAAATTAATCATAAAATGGGAGGAAGATGGACATGAAAAGCAATTGCAGGGGGATCCGGCTCTCAGCAGGACACAAGCTTCTTGGAAGACCTTGGTGAAGAATCTGCAGAAACAGGGGGAAGGCTATTATGTTTACTGGGAGGAAGCCACAGAAGACAACCTTGAAGGAAGCAAATCTGAAGAGAGATGGGAGAAAGTTTTAACTGAATTTGCTCCAGTCTTTCAACCTCAACAGGGGCTACCTCCGATCAGGGAATGTGATCATGCAATTAACATCAAAGAGGGCCCACCATCCCTAATTTCAAGCCCTACAGATACCCGCATTACCAGAACAATGAGATAGAGAAGTTGGTGAAAGATCTGCTGAATACAAGTACAATCAGACCGAGTAATAGTCCCTATAGCAGCCCAGTCCTTTTGGTTAAATAGAAGGAGGGCGGGTGGAGATTTTGGGTGTGATTACCGGGCTCTAAACAAGATCACCATACCGGATAAATTTCCTATACCTGTATTAGAATAATTATTGGATGAACTGGGAAAGGCAAAGATATTTTCCAAATTGGATTTAAAATCCGGGTACCATCAGGTTCGAATGAAGGAGGCTGACATCCACAAGACAGCCTTCCGAACACATGAGGGGCATTACGAGTACATAGTGATGCCCTTTGGATTAACCAACGCCCCCTCTACGTTTCAAGCACTTATGAAGCAAATCCTTAAACCTTACCTCAGGAAGTTTGTCCTAGTTTTTTTTTATGACATTCTGATCTATAGCAGAGATGTGGAGGAGGATACATAACACATTCGAAAGGTGTTACAGATTCTCAGAGAGAACCAACTGGTAGTTAATAAAAAAGTGCTTATTTGGGCAAACACATCTGGCTTATCTAGGACATATAATCTCTGGAGAGGGAGTTGCAGCAGATCCCACTAAGATACAAGACGTGCTGGATTGGCCAGTACCCCATAATGTGAAAAGTTTAAGAGGGTTTTTGGGGCTCACAGGTTACTACAGAAGATTCGTGAAGCGGTACAGCAAAATAGCCACACCTCTGACAAATTTGTTGAAGAAGGAAGGGTTCAAATGGAATCAGGAGCACTGACAGCCTTTAAACAACTCAAGGTGGCCATGACTACTCTACCAGTTCTGGCAACCCCAGACTTTGATAAAACATTTATAGTCGAAACCGACGCTTCAGGAAAGGGGATTGGAGCGGTTTTGATGCAGGAAGGAAGACCGGTAGCGTATATGAGCAAGGTCTTGTATGAAAGAAATCAGAAGAAATCAGTTTATGAACGGGAATTAATGGCCCTTGTCCTGGCAGTAAAAAAATGGCGACCTTACCTACTGGGAAGATGTTTTGATATACATATGGATCAGAAAAGCCTTAGATTCTTAAGAGAACAGAGAATCATGGGAGAAGAGCAACAAAAATGGGTGATAAAATTGCTAGGATACAACTTCACAATCAAATTCAAACCGGGCATTGAGAACAAGGCGGCAGATGCTCTGTCCATAAAAGGAGGATTTTATTCACTCTCGGTGGTAACATGCCAAGAATGGCAAGGGTTGGAAGAGGAACTGATGGAGGATGAAAGATGTAAACAACTTATTCAGACCTTGTTAGCGCAACCGGGGTCAAAACCTGGTTTCACTCTCCGAAAAGAGTTGCTATTTATCAGAACAGATTAGTACTACCGAAGAATTCCCCCAGAATCCAGGAATTCCATGATTCTGCTATGGGGGGACATTCGGGGAATTTGAGAACCATGAAGAGGATAGCTAATGCCTTTTACTGGGAAGGGATGAGGACGGAAATACAAACGTATGTCAAGAATTGTGAAGTTTGCCAGCGGAACAAATACCAAGCCTTAAAGCGTGCAGGGCTGGGCTACTGCAGCCACTTCCCATACCTACACAGGTGTGGACTGATGTAAGCATGGATTTTGTGGGCGGGCTGCCCAAAGCCATGGGAAAGGATACCATACTCGTAGTGGTTGATAGACTAACTAAGTTTGCACATTTCATACCCCTTTCTCATCCATACACAGCAAAAGGGGTGGCAGAAGTATTCATACAAGTCGTGAGGTTGCATGGGTTCCCTAAATCTATAGTTTCTGACAGGGATAGTATTTTCCTCGGTTCTTTTTGGTCTGAAATGTTTAGGGTGGCAGGGACAAAATTGAAATATAGTACTGCATATCACCCCAGATGGATGGACAAACGGAGTTGGTAAATGTTAGACTATGGCTAATTCTACAGTAATTCTGAGCTCACCCAAAGGTAAAAATGGCGACAAAGATCAAAAGTAGAAGTTTATTGTTTAATGGAAAGAGAAGAATACAGTTCCCAGGTCGTAACAAAGTTCCGACTCCCAGTCCCAAGTCCCAAGCCCAAGATAATTCCAACCTCCTTTCTATTCTACCCTCCACCTCTATTTATACTAACTATTCTCATATTATTATTACTCTTATTATTATTAGTGCTATTCTGCCGGAGTCCTATCATATCTCCCCCCTTGAACATCCACCTTGTCCTCAAGGTGGGTGATAGGACACGGCCTTGATCTTGAACTTCATCTTCATCCTGGAGCCTCTTCCTTCCCAGTACCTCCCGGATTTCTGAACCATAAGTTTCTGTAGTTCCACCTTCCACCTCATAAACGTTTCTGCAGCCGAAGAGAATTCTAGTGCAATTTTAGTCTCTTCAGTGGCTATCAAGCACTCAATAACGGCAAATGTTTCTTTGTTCTGTGTTTCTCCCTTTGCAGCAGTCATATGTTTTGTTATTGCTGCAGCCAGTCCTTCCAGCAGATTCCACCTGAGTGATTTGTCATTGTAGATGATAATTTCTCTCAATAGTCTCCTCACATCAGGACTTGGTTCTGCCAAAAGCCTTCCAATCACACATGTATATGTACTCTCCACCACTTTGAATTCAGGATCCCCTTCTTTTGTAGTTCCTTCTAGTAATCCTAAAGCTCGTATCACCACATCACCAAAGGATTGTACCGCAGTTCTTTCAGGAATGAAACCGAGAGAGAGGAATTCATTTTCCGAACTCGTTGAAATTGTAGCCTCAGAATCTCCAGCTGCCACTCTTTTCAAATAAACTTGAAGCATGAGGGCTTTCAACTCATTATCTTCTGGCCATTTTAACTTCTGAAATAAGCTAACTTCCTTCCTAACTGTCAACAACTCCTTCCCTGTTCCGAAGTGTTCACTCATGGGCGGCACATATCCAGCTCCATACTCAATAGGTGGATGGTTAGAACTTCCCAACTTAAAAAGTACAGAAAACACATTAGAAATTTCAAAATGAGCTGTGACTCTCTCCTACTAGCATTGTCCATGAGACATTCGGAATACATGCTCCAAACACTTCACAGATGATTATCAGAAACTCAACGAGATGAAAATCCTTGCCATCAAGAGAAAGTAACTGGACACAGTCTACTGGTGGGATGCCAACTAGCAGGATATTCAGCATTGATGCATAACAGCTCGACTGATTCTCTTTTCCAGAGTACTCTGTAGAAACTGGTGGAAACCACAGCGTAGTAATGCAGTAGGAAGTGTGTTCCTTTTTAACAACGTTCAGTCTTCCATCTGCCTTCCCAATAGCTAAGAGCTGTTGAATTCCGCCAAGATGATTCCAGTACGTAACATCACCACCAAAGTATTGATTATAATTCACACTAGGACAACCATGGACCTCTAATTCGTCTTCTGTGACATGATAGTGGTGCAGTACCTTTTCAGCATCCCTATTGTTAGCTACTTTAATAAAATCAGAATTATAACCGTGAACATAGCTCAAACTATCAAACCCCGCAGAGGAATTATTTTGGTTTTGCATTTCAATTTTGTCCTCCTTTTTCTCAGACTTTGATTCATCCTCTTCTATTTCCCCAGTTTCCTCTATATTGACTGTAGGTTTGAAGAATTAATCTTCCATATATTATTGAGCCATCCGGCAATGATATAAATACAAAATTACAGATAAGCTAAGGTTCGTTACAGATCCTAATATTTAGGATCTATCTATTCTTATCTACACTGCGTGTTAATCTAAGAGTTAGAGTCCTAAATCAACTCTACTTCCTATCTATACAGTCCCGGATGTACACATAATAAAATAACATGAATATGCTACATTTTTCTACACTCCCCCTCAAGTTGGTAAGTATATATCATACATTCCCAACTTGCTTATAAGAAACTCAAACACTGGTTTAAACAGCCCCTTTGTAAAGATATCAGCTGTCTGCTCTTTAGTAGATATGAATGGTGTGCATACAATTCCAGCTTCAATCTTCTCTTTGATAAAATGCCTGTCCACCTCAATGTGTTTAGTACGATCATGTAGCACAGGATTGTGAGCAATATTAATGGCTGCTTTATTGTCACAATATAATTTCATAGGTAGGTTCATTTCCATATTCAACTCTGTCATCATTCTCTTGATCCAAAGTAGCTCACAGATTCCATTAGCCATAGATCTAAATTCAGATTCTGCACTACTTCTGGCAACAACATTCTGCTTCTTACTTCTCCAAGTCACCAGATTCCCCCATACATAAGTACAATATCCAGATGTAGACCTTCTATCATTTATTGACCCAGCATAATCTGCATCTGTAAAAGCTTCTACACTTCTATTGTCACTTCTTTTAAAAAATAATCCTTTCCCTGGACAACTTTTCAAATATCTTAGGATCCTGTAGGTAGCATCTAGATGTTCTTGGAATGGATTATGCATGAACTGACTAACCATACTGACTGCAAAGGCAATATCTGGCCTTGTATGTGCCAGATAAATCAACCTTCCCACCAATCTTTGATATTGGTGAATATTAACTGGTACTCCTTCCTTGACATTTCCTAACTTCTGATTAGGGTCAATTGGAGTATCTATTGGTCTGCATGCACTCATACCTGTTTCATGAAGTAGGTCTAGTACATACTTCCTTTGGGATACCACAATTCCCTTCTTTGATCTGGCTATCTCCATGCCAAGAAAATACTTCAATTCTCCCAGGTCTTTGATTTCAAATTCCTGAGCAAGCTTCTTCTTCAGGTCTTCAATCTCTTCACAATAGTTTCCTGTAAGAATTATATCATCCACATAAACAATTAGTACTGCAATTTCTCCCTTAATGGAGAATTTCATGAATAGTGTATGATCTGCTTGGGCTTGTTTGAATCCCTGCTTCTTTATGAACTGAGTAAACCTTTCAAACCAAGCCCTTGGGGACTGTTTAAGCCCATATAAGGCTTTCTCTAGCTTGCACACCTTTGAGCCATATTGTTCCTCAAACCCAGGAGGAGGGCGCATGTATACTTCCTCTTCAAGCTTCCCATTTAGGAAAGCATTCTTCACATCTAACTGTTGAAGAGGCCAGTCTAGGTTAGAAGCTAGAGATAGTAGAATCCTTATAGTATTTAATTTTGCAACTGGTGCAAAAGTTTCTGTATAATCTATGCCATAGGTTTGTGTGTATCCTTTGGCAACCAGTCTGGCCTTATATCTTTCAAGTGTACCATCTGCCTTGAATTTAGGAGTAAACACCCATTTGCATCCAACCCTTGGTTTATTTTTGGGTACCTCTACAGTCTGCCATGTCTGATTCTTTTCAAGGGCGTTCATTTCTTCTAAAACAGCCTTCTTCCACTCAGGTATAGATAGGGCTTCCTGTATGGTTAAGGGAATAGAGACACTGGAAAGGCTAGAGGTAAAAGCTGCAAATGATGTAGATAACTGAGAATAGAACATATAGTTTGAGATAGGGTATTTAACACATGACCTTTTTTCTTTTCTGAGAGCAATGGGTAGATTTAGATCACTGAAATTATTACCTTTGTCATTTTCTGGCATTGAGTCAGATTCATTGACAGTGGCAGGATCAGGGATGTCCTCTATTCTGTGATTTGGAACTTTCCTTTCATAAACCTTGCCAAAAAACTTACTTATCTGCTGTTCATCATCTTTCCTTGTTTCAGAAAAAATTTTTTCATTTTCTTTTGACTCTTGACTATTTTCTAGTGCATCTAACTGTCTATTATACTGTGCATCTAGATTAATGTCAAGAGGTTCTAGTTTTTCAAGGATATGTGATACATTATTACCATCTTCATTAGGAATCTCCCCCTGAAGATGAGTACCAAAAAAAGGTTGATCTTCTACAAAAACAGTGTTCATAGTTATAAACATCTTTTTTGTTATAGGGTCAAAACATTTATAGCCTTTCTGAGTTGAAGAGAGTCCTAAGAAAACACATTTTTTCCCTTAGGGTCAAATTTACTTGCAGTTCTGTCAGGATTGGTAATAAAAACTGTGCACCCAAAAATTTTTATGGGAAGAGAGTTAATTAGTCTAGTTTCAGGAAAACAAGTTTGAAGAGTATCAATAGGAGTTTTGAATCCTAGAGTTTTTGATGGCATCCTATTAATTAGATAGGTAGCATGTAAAACAGCTTCTCCCCATAAATATTTTGGAATTTTGGCAGAAAACATTATTGCACGAGTAACTTCAAGTAAATGTCTATTTTTCCTCTCAGCTATTCCATTCTGAGCAGGAGTATTTACACAGGAACTTTGATGAACAATCCCTTTTTCAGCAAAAAAAGTATTTAACTTCTTAGAAAAATACTCAAGTCCATTATCACTTCTCACAATTTTGATATTAGTGTTGAATTGAGTTTGGATCATTGAGTAAAATTGTTTGAACACCTCTTCAATCTCAGATTTTTCTTTAAGTAAAAACACCCATGTGACCCTTGTGTGATCATCTATGATAGTTACAAACCACCTTTTTCCTTTCAGAGTTGAAACTCTAGATGCACCCCAGATATCACTGTGTACAATAGTGAAAGGACTAGTTGGTTTGTAACTATGAGGGATGTAAGAACTCCTATGATGTTTGGCAAGTGCACACATATCACAATGAAATGATGAAGGATTTTTATTAAGAAATAACTTAGGAAACAACATTTTCAAGTAGGAAAAACTTGGGTGACCTAATCTATAGTGCATTAGGTACACTTCATTATTACAAGGAAAAACAGTTTGCAAACAAGTTTTTTCTTGACCTTGTTTATTCAATTGTGTTCCTTCATCAAAAGTATAGAGGCCATCTTCCTCTCTAGCACTGCCAATCATCTTCCCTGATGCCAGATCCTGAAAAATGCAATAAGAGGGAAAATTTTTTACACAACACTGAAGATCTTTAGTAATTTTGCTAATAGAGATAAGATTGCAGGAAAGTTTAGGAACATGTAAGACTTTGGAAAGGTTAATGGATGAGGAAATTTTAATATTTCCCATCCCTGCTATGGCTGAGAAAGAGCCATCTGCAACTCTAACTTTTTTATCTCCTGCACAAGGTTGATAAGAAGAAAAAAACTTTGGAATATAGGTCATGTGGTCTGTTGCACCTGAGTCAATGACCCAGGTGTTTTTAGTTTTTTCAGAACAAAAATATGATGTTATTTTACCATTCTGGGCAAAAGAACAGGTAGGGTTTTCAGGATTGGAGATTTTCTGGGTAGGTATGAATCTGAGTAGGTACTCTATCTGTTCCTGAGTGAATGGTAGCTGTTTAGGTTCAACTCCTGCCTCTTGTTGAGTCTCAGTCACAGTAGTTTGTAGGGCCCTTTCTACTTTCTTCTTCCCAGCTCCTGGTGGTTTTCCATGGAGTTTCCAGCATGTATCCCTTGTGTGCCACAGTTTCTTGCAGTGATCACACCAAGGTTTTTTCTTGTTGTCATCACTTCTGGCCACCAAAGCTGAAGATTCCCCAGGTTCCTCATTAGGTGCTGGGGTGTTGTACATGACCTTCTTCCTGCTATCCTCCATCCTGATTTCAGAAAATACCTCCCTGATAGAAGGTAGAGGTTTTTTTCCAAGTATCCTCCCCTTAACTTCATCTAGGTCCCTATTGATCCCTGCTAGAAACATATAGACCCTATCATTCTCTTCTTTTTTCTTATGTCTGGCCAGATCCTTAGCACTCTCCCACTCTTCATCATCATAGCATTGATCTAATTCTTGCCACAGAGATACCATTTCATTGTAGTATGAAATAATATCCCTATTTCCTTGTTTAGATTGCCACAATTTGGTTTTGAGTTCAAAAATTTGAGAAGAGTTCTCAAGGTCTGAATAAGTTTCCTTAATAGAATCCCATACCTCCTTTGCAGTTTTCATAAACATATGAGGTTTGGCAATTAGGGGCTCCATGGAGTTGAGAAGCCAAGCTGTTATGAGTGAATTCTCTGACCTCCATGTACTGTACCCTTCTTCTGCTTGTATTTTTGGTTGGATTTCTCCTGTGATGTAACCCAGCTTTCCCCTCCCATCAATTGCAAGTCTGACAGATTGAGACCACTCCAGATAGTTTGTTCCATTCAATCTATGACTAGTGATTATCATAGATGAATGAATAGGAGACTGGTAATTTGTCATAGAGCTAATTTGGGAGTTAGGGTTGGTAGTGTGTGAGGAATCAGCTTCACTGGTTTCTACCATTGTTTAAACCGAATCTCTGATACCATGTAGGTTTGAAGAATTAATCTTCCATATATTATTGAGCCATCCGGCAATGATATAAATACAAAATTACAGATAAGCTAAGGTTTGTTACAGATCCTAATATTTAGGATCTATCTATTCTTATCTACACTGCGTGTTAATCTAAGAGTTAGAGTCCTAAATCAACAATACTTCCTATCTATACAGTCCCGGATGTACACATAATAAAATAACATGAATATGCTACATTTTTCTACATTGACAGTTTCTGTAGAGCTTTACCAAGTATTTGAACCAACAATTTTATCAACGCCAAATTTATATTCCATGGCAATGGATTGAATCACCACAGAAGTTTTCTCCTCTGGTTCCTCATCACCATTGATGAATGTATCTTCAGATTTAGGTTGTCGCTGACTCACAGACTGCTGCGGGAATGAAACTGACTCAACTTGCGGACTGTGAGAAACGGAAGTATTGGATGAAACCTGCGGTGAGACCTGCGAACTGAGATAAGTCGCTCTTTGAGCCCTGCGAACTGAGACCTTCGAACTGGTAGACACTGTGTGCGACTGCGAGTGCGATGATTTCCGGTTTTCTGTCTTCCGCCTGCGTGTAGGTTGGAATCTCCGAATTGTAGCTTCCTTCAGAACTTCCCAATTCTTTTCTCTAGTTTCAATTTCCCACCATTGGAACCAGTCTAACGCCCTTTCCTCCATTGTTTCTAAAAGAAGAAAATAGGCGGAATTAATTTTCTTCTCATTTACCGAACTTAAATAGGTACAGAGAGAATCCTGGAAATCCTGGGAATTAATTGATTCCCTAGAATAAAAGGATCTACAATATCAAAAAGATAATCTACCTTAAATACAATTCTAATCAAGGCAAGAGATAATTCTACAATTCTACAATTAATTACAATTACTATGCGCCTAAAATAGATGATTTTGTCCAATAACCTAAAATAGATTATTCTGTCCAACACTCCCCCTCAAGCTGGGGCAAAAATGTCAATCATGCCCAGCTTGACTAGAAAATCTTCAAATGTTTGTTTGTATAGCCCTTTGGTCAGAATGTCTGCGAGTTGCTCTGATGTGGGAACGTAAGGTATACAAATTTCTCCTCCTTCTAGCTTTTCTTTGATGAAGAAGCGATCAACTTCCACATGTTTGGTCTTGTCATGTTGGACAGGATTGTGAGCAATACTGATGGCTGACTTATTGTCACAAAACAACTTCATTGGCATTTCTGTCTTCACCTTCAGTTCATTGAGAATGCTTCTTAGCCAAATAGCTTCACAGATTCCGTGTGCCATTGCTCTATACTCGGCTTCTGCACTACTTCTTGACACCACATGTTGTTTTTTACTTCTCCAGGTTACTAAATTTCCCCAAACGAATGAACAATAGGCTGATGTAGATCTCCTATCGTTCGCAGCTCCTGCATAATCTGCGTCTGTGAAGACCTCAATTTTCCTACTGTGATTTTTTTTGAATAGAATACCCTTGCCGGGACTTCCCTTGAGATAGTGTAGGATTCTGTAGACAGCTTTCAGATGTTCTTCAGTCGGATTATGCATAAATTGACTGACTAAACTCACTGCAAAGGCTATATCAGGTCGTGTGTGAGCTAGATAGATGAGTTTTCCCACTAACTTTTGATACCGAGCCTTATCAACAGCAGCTCCGCCCTCGGACCTTCCTAACTTATGGTTAGGGTCAATAGGAGTGGAAGCAGGTTTACATCCAAGAAGACCTGTTTCCTTGAGTAAATCGAGCACATACTTTCGTTGAGACAGAGCAATTCCCTTCTTTGATCTAGCTACTTCCATCCCGAGAAAGAACTTGAGGTTTCCCAAATCTTTAATTTCAAATTGCCTAGCTAGAAATAGCTTCAGTTTCTCCAGTCCTTCTTCATCATCTCCTGTCATTATAATATCATCTACATACACAATTAAGATAGCAATTTTCCCTTCGACCGTGTGTTTGTAGAACAATGTATGATCAGCGTGAGCTTGACGAAATCCTTTTTCCTTTACAGCCCTTGTAAACCTTTCGAACCAAGCGCGAGGTGACTGTTTCAAGCCGTATAAAGATTTCTTCAGTCGACATACCTTTCCTGCCACACTTTCATCATCAAACCCCGGAGGTACTTGCATAAAAACTTCTTCTTCTAACTCTCCATTAAGGAAGGCATTCTTCACATCAAACTGTAGAAGAGGCCAGTCGAGGTTAACAGCAAGTGACAACAACACTCTTACTGTGTTGAGTTTAGCAACCGGGGCAAATGTCTCCTCATAGTCTAGACCGTAGGTTTGAGTGAATCCTCTAGCTACGAGTCTAGCTTTGTACCTCTCTATTGATCCATCCGAATTATACTTGATCGTGAACACCCATTTGCTGCCTACAAGATGCTTTCCTTTTGGCAGATCTGTTAACTCCCACGTTTCATTTTTTTTAAAGCTCACATTTCTTCTAGGACACCTTCTCTCCACTTTGGAATGCTTAGTGCTTCTTGTATCGTCCTCGGAATTTCATCATCGGTTATGCTAGTGGTAAAGGCCCTAAAGGTAGGAGATAATTGGTGATATGACACATAACGGTTTATAGAATGTTTGGTGCACTCACGAACTCCTTTCCTAAGTGCTATAGGTTCATTAAGGCTCGGATCAAGAGGTGAATTATGGTCATGGGAATCAGTCTCAGTCTCAAGAATAGGATCAAGGAAATGTGGAAAAGAAGTTGTGGGAATGGTGTTACCTGGAACAATACTTTGGTCAGACGGTAGGTCGGCTTGAGTTGGTACTGAATCAGTACCTTGCTTCTTTTTTCTTCTCGAGTAAACACGTAGTTCAGATGTGGGATCCACATTATTTATTATTTCAGATCCTTTGTGAGGTGTAGAAATAATAGGTATGACAGGTTCAACATCAACTGCCCTACTTTGATTATCATAATTTGTAAGAGGAATCGGTAACACACTAACACAATATTTTCCCAAAATTGGTCTCCTATTTCTTTCTCCCCCTGAAGAGAAGTTTGATCAAAAAATGGTTTGTTTTCAAAAAATGTGACATCCATACTAACTAATATCTTTCCCGAGCTTGGGTCATAACATTTATATCCTTTTTTAGTTGGTGAAACACCTAAAAAAATACACTTTATTTCCCTCGGATCAAGTTTATTTCTGTTAAGATCATGAATGTGGACAAAACTAGTGCAACCAAATACTTTAGGTGATAAACCAGTGAAAGTCCTGTTAAGAGGATATGATAATTGTAATGTTTTCAAAGGGGTTTGATAGTTTAGCACTTTGCTGGGCATCCTATTAATTAGGTATGCAGCATGAAGTATAGCTTCTCCCCAAAAACGTTTTGGAACATTCATAGAAAACATAAGAGCTCGGGCAACCTCTAGTAGATGTCTATTTTTTCTTTCGGCAACTCCATTTTGTTGAGGTGTAATAACACAAGAACTATGATGGAGAATGCCTTGGGCTGCGAGAAACGAACCAAGAGTGCAATTAAAAAATTCTCTACCATTATCTGTTCTAAGGACTTGTATTTGAGCTCCAAATTGTGTTTTAATCATAGAGTTAAAACTTTTGAATGTTTCTGCAACCTCTGATTTTTCTTTAAGAAGATAAATCCAAGTGTTTCTAGTGTGATCATCAATAAAGGTTATGAACCATCTAGTGCCAGAAAGATTTTTAATCCTAGATGGTCCCCATATGTCACTATGAATAAGAGAGAAAGGTTTAGATGACATGTAAGGCAAAGAAGGATAAACATAACGTTTATGTTTAGCAATTTGACAAATCTCACATTGAAATGAATTAACATCCTTATTTTTAAATAAAATAGGAAACACATGGCGTAAATAACCAAAGCTAGGATGGCCTAGTCGATAGTGCCATAACATTATTTCATTCTCTAAGGATAAAAAACTAGAAGAACATGGTTTCTGAACTTGTTTACTCGAGAGGATGTCAGTAGCAAGATAGTAGAGTCCACCACTTTCTCTTGCACTACCAATCGTCTTCCCAGAGCGTTGGTCCTGAAACACACAACCATTTGACACAAATTTTACAACACAATCAGAATCGTGAGCAAGTTTACTGACTGACACAAGGTTGCATAATAAGTTGGGCACATGTAGGACATTGTTTAAGGTAATAAACGGAGATATAATGATAGAACCTTTTCCAGCAATTGCGGATAGGGAACCATCTGCAATTTTTACCTTTTGATTACCCGAACAAGGAAAGTAATTAGAAAACATGTAGGAAGACCCAGTCATGTGATCAGTAGCCCCTGAATCAATGATCCAAGGGTTGGATTTTTCTAAACTTACACTAAGGGCGGCTGCTAAGATACCTTTTTGCACCAGAGATGATGAAGGATGGGCTGAGATATTTGAGGTTGGGGTATTTGAAACTGATGTATATGGAGTAGTGATGTTGGTATTAGCAGACCGATGAGTATTCCAGGACTGAAACAATTGTTCTAGGCTATCCTTGGTGAAGGAGAAGGTGTCGCTTGATGTGTTTGCTTGATCTCCAGATGCAGCGAGGAAGCCTCCTTTGGTATTGCGTGAGACTCGGTTGGAAGGGGTGAACTCAGCTGGCTTGCCGTGAATCTTCCAGCACTTTGCCTTGATGTGCCCGATTTTGTGACAAAAATCACACACTGGCCGTTCTTGATTATTATTAGACTGCTGCAAAGGATGTGGGGACTTGAAATTTGGTTTTGAGATCATCAGTGCAGATGTTTCAATGGGTAAAGAGGTGGATTCATCTCTGAGCATCACATGTCGACGACTCTCTTCGCGACGAACCTCAGCAAACACCTCTTGTGCACTTGGCAGTGGGTCTCGGCCAAGGAGTCTCCCTCGAACTTCATCAAGTTCTTTGTTCAGACCAGCAAGGAAGTCGAAAACTCTTTCTTTTTCAACAATTTTCCGATAGAGGGCAGCATCCTTCGGGCAGTGCCATTTATAATCACAAAACAGATCATATTCTTGCCAAAGAGTCATGATATCAGTGTAGTACTGAGTTACACTCTTCTCCCCTTGTTTCGCCTTTCCCAATTGTGTCTTGATCTCAAATAATTGCCCAGCATTCCCCAAATCTGAGTAGGTTTCCTTTAGGGCATCCCAGATGGCATTCGCGGATGGCAGAAACAAATAGGTTCTGCCAATTTCTGGTTCCATCGAGTTCACCAACCATGACATAATCATGGAATTCTCGGCCTCCCATCGTTCATATCCATCATCTTTGGGGCCTGGCTGAACTGTTGTTCCTGAGAGGTAGCCAAATTTGCCTTTTCCTTGGACGAAAAGCTTGACTGACTGTGACCACGGGAGGAAATTACTTCCATTTAGTTTGATGGAGGTAATCGCCAGATTCTGCATAGAATCAAAAGCGATACAGGGTTTGGTTCGGGCGGAGTCACCAGTTGAGCTGGTGCTGATATCGCTCGAGTTCAGGCCTGCCATGGAAGTTGGCGATACGGCTCTGATACCATAAAAGAAGAAAATAGGCGGAATTAATTTTCTTCTCATTTACCGAACTTAAATAGGTACAGAGAGAATCCTGGAAATCCTGGGAATTAATTGATTCCCTAGAATAAAAGGATCTACAATATCAAAAAGATAATCTACCTTAAATACAATTCTAATCAAGGCAAGAGATAATTCTACAATTCTACAATTAATTACAATTACTATGCGCCTAAAATAGATGATTTTGTCCAATAACCTAAAATAGATTATTCTGTCCAACAGTTTCTTCTGCTACTCTAACCTTATGTTTTTCCGCAATAGCGTTGAGTTGGAAGTATAGTTCCATCTTAATTATCCATCCGTACACCTCATCCCCATTGAATAGTGGTAAATCTACTTTCCTTCCAGATTTCTCCATCCACTTGCTATAATCATTGTTTCGTGAAGAATAATGATTACCTGAAGAAGACGAAGAAGATTCGCTACTGTCATGTTTCTTGCTCCGCTTTGTTGTTTTAAATTTTCCGCTTGAGTGGCGATCATTCCTCTGCAGAATTAATTCGCGCAACTCTTCGTTAGTGCGTCTGGCCCCTTCACAATTCTTCTCCCGCTCCATGTTCTCTCTGGAGTATGATTGCGTTGGACTGTCATGTCGTTTGTCGCGAGTTGAGGTTCTTGACCTTCCTCGCTCATGTCCGTCGTTCTGCTTTATCAACAGTGCGCGCAACTCAGCCATCTCATGCCGCAACTCTTCGCGATGATGTTCCAGCTCGCGTTCGAAACTGTCCAATTTTCCTTCCATCGTTCTACGCGTCGCAACCATGGACATGTGTCAGAAACGGTGCTCTGATACCAATGTTAGACTATGGCTAATTCTACAGTAATTCTGAGCTCACCCAAAGGTAAAAATGGCGACAAAGATCAAAAGTAGAAGTTTATTGTTTAATGGAAAGAGAAGAATACAGTTCCCAGGTCGTAACAAAGTTCGGACTCCCAGTCCCAAGTCCCAAGCCCAAGATGATTCCAACCTCCTTTCTATTCTACCCTCCACCTCTATTTATACTAACTATTCTCATATTATTATTACTCTTATTATTATTAGTGCTATTCTGCCGGAGTCCTATCAGTAAACCGCTGTGTCTAAACCCACTTGAGATGCATGACAGGGAGTAAGCCCAAACAGTGGCCCAAGTGGCTTCCCTGGGCAGAACATTAGCACAACACCAATTTCCATTCTGCACTCAAAGCTATTCCTTACAGGGCCTTATATGGGCAAGATCCTCCCACACCAATCAGGGGAGATGCCACCCTAACAGCCATTGAAGAAGTGACTAAACTTACGGCCGAGAGAAACTTGATGATAGCTGAACTGAAAGATAATTTATCCAAGGCTCAGAACCTAATGAAACAACAATACAATCAGAAAAGGAGGACAGAACAGTTTGAAGTGGGCAACCAGGTTTATCTGAAGATTCAACCCTACAAGCAAAGGAGTTTGGCCAAGAAACTCAACCAGAAACTCAGCCCTAGGTTTTATGGGCCCTTTGAAGTAGTAGACAAAATAAATCTGGTCTTTCACGTGTCGCTTCTGAAGTGGGCATTGGCTCCTAATATTCCAAGTCAGCCTCTTCCTGCGTGTTTGAATGAAGAATGGGAGTTACAGGCACAGCCAGAGAAGATCAAAGACGGCAGAGTCAATGAGGCAGGAGAACTGGAGATATTGGTCCACTGGAAGAATTTGCCAGAGTTTGAAGATTCCTGGGAAGAGCTCCAGAAGTTCCAGAAAAACTTCCCTGAATTCCACCTTGTGGACAAGGTGTTATTCAAAGTGGGGAGTGATGTTAGGACTTTGGGTGATTTAAATATTAATCCCGATAGGGATTTCTCTCAGGTGTATGTAAGGAGGGCTAAAAGGTGAAATAGGGGCGTAACTAATTAGATAAGAAGGGGGACCCAGTAAAGGGAATAAATAGCGTAGTGCGAGGAGAGAAGAGATAGGCTGAAAATTCAGTTTGGACTTGGAGAGCACGGCACTCTCGAATTTCCTGGACTTGTTTTTCTTTTTTTGATCACCGTCTCTCAGTTCGTATCTGTAATTCAGATACTTTTGCTCTATTTCATTCATATTACCTTGTTATCATTCTGGAAATCCGTGTGTTCTAACAGGAAACAAACTTATTAGCATCTCACATCAAATGTCTTTTTGACAAAATTTGGGTGGGAATAAACTATTGTGTGAAGCAGTTGTACAAGTGGTGTACATAAAATGTTGAACAAAAGGAACTTTAAATTGTCATAACCTTTCGAAAGTGCAGGGAAGCTGAATTAATAGGCGATTTTAATGAATGGGATGGGTCCCATCACCAGATGGAAAAAAACCAGTTTGGTGTATGGAGCATAAAAATTCCTGATGATGATGATGGAAACACAGCTATTTTACACAATTCTAGAGTTAAGTTCCGTTTTAAGGATGTGAGCGGAATTTGGGTTGATAGAATTCCTGCCTGGATAAAGTATGCTACAGTAGACCCTACAAAGTTTGCTGCACCTTATGATGGCGTGTACTGGGACCCACCAGCTTCTGAAAGGTGAATTTTCCTATCCTTAGGAACTTGAAACTAAGTGATTGTTGCTGTTGGTGGTTTTAATATTTTATTTGAGATAGCAGTATCGAGCCATCAATCTTGATTCTTGTGTGCGAATGTAGAAATGTTTTGGGAGGAAATAAAATATGGGTGAAGAAACAAATTGGTTCAAACTCGAGATATAAATATTAAGAAATCTAATATATGCAAGACTCCAAAACAAATTTAATGAAGTTTGATTTCCTAGGTATTTTCCAAGGTACAGCAGAACATAAAAACTAATTTCTTTAGCAAATTTATTTCTTGCTATCTCTCATTTTCCGGGTTCCAAACAAAGCCTAAAGTGGCGTGTTTATCTCACTCTAGCATAATTATTAGTAAGTAACGTTGATAAAATGATTTTCCTTTTTCCAATGGAACATGTGAAATGGATCAATGGTTGACAAGCACTCTCTTATAAACCCTACAGGTATGATTTTAAATGCCCCCGTCCTCCTAAACCCAAGGCCCCAAGGATATACGAAGCTCATGTGGGTATGAGTAGCTCAAAACATCATGTAAACTCATACAGAGAATTCGCAGATGATGTTTTACCCCGTATAAAGCAAAACAATTATAACACAGTCCAGTTGATGGCTATAATGGAGCATTCCTATTATGCATCGTTTGGATATCACGTTACAAACTTCTTTGCAGTAAGCAGTAGGTCCGGAACACCAGATGACCTTAAGTATCTGATTGACAAAGCACATGGGTTAGGCTTAAGGGTGTTGATGGATGTTGTTCACAGTCATGCTAGTAACAATGTCACAGATGGTCTAAATGGCTATGATGTTGGGCAAGGATCACAAGAGTCCTATTTTCATAGTGGAGAACGAGGCTACCATCAGTTGTGGGATAGCAGACTCTTTAACTATTCTAGTTGGGAAGTTTTGCGTTTCCTTCTTTCCAACTTAAGGTGGTGGCTTGAAGAATACAAATTTGATGGGTTTCGGTTCGATGGAGTAACTTCTATGTTATATCATCACCACGGGATCGGGTTTTCATTCACGGGAGGCTATAATGAGTATTTCAGTGAGGAAACAGATGTCGATGCAGTGGTTTATTTGATGCTTGCCAATACACTGATCCATGGTCTCATGCCCGATGCAACCATAGTTGCTGAGGATGTTTCAGGTATGCCTGGACTTTGCCGACCAGTGCTGGAGGGTGGCATTGGGTTTGACTACCGGTTAGCAATGGGCATCCCAGACCGGTGGATGGTTTACCTGAAGAATAAGAAGAGTGTCGAGGATTGGTCAATGAAGGATATAACATGGAGTTTGACAAATCGCCGATACACAGAGAAATGCGTGGCTTATGCGGAGAGTCATGATCAGGTAGGTATAGCATACTCCCTCCGGTTCCAAAAGATCTTGACACTTTGACTTCACAGTTTTTAAGGAAATAAATTTGACTTTACTGTAGAGTACACTGTTTGGCACTGTTTGACGCTGTTTAGCACTGTTTGACACTGTTTTGTGTAGATTTATTTGCCAAATAAGGCAAATAAGGAAGTGTAAAGATAATTGTGGTACTGATAAAAATGGAAAGTGTAAAGATCTTTCAGAACCGGAGGGAGTATTATATTAACGCGTGAAATGCATCTCATGGTTTCAAATATGGGGTCCAGTGCCTTTGTTCATCTTCTTATTTTATTTTATATCATTTAATTCGTGCAAGCAGGCTATTGTTGGAGACAAGACAATTGCATTTCTGCTAATGGACAGAGAAATGTATTCTGGCATGTCCTGCTTGGCAGAAGCCTCTGTTATTGTGGACCAAGGAATTGCACTTGTCAAGGTAGGTTTGGTTTGTCACGCCTTCAAAAGTTAATTTGATAGAAGCTTTTGCTGTTACCATGGGTTTGGAGATGTGGCAAATTTGACCAGTCACACTCATTTGCAGATGATTCACTTCTTAACAATGGCCTTAGGAGGAGAAGGGTACTTAAATTTCATGGGAAACGAGGTACAGTACTAGTCCCTCTTTCCCATTTTACATTCTTAATTACTAATCATTGCTCAGCATCTTAGCTATCCTATTTTCTTCTGTACTCTTTTATAACTAATAAATAGCCATCCTATAACTAATAATTAGTTGAATGGCCTGGAACCCTCTTTTTCTCCACTATCAAAATATTTAATATTATTCTTATTATTATTACTACTATCCGGGTCCCTAACTCCATATCATCACTCCCCCATTGACTACCACCTTCTCCTCAAGGTAGGAAACAGCCCTGTCAATCAGCTTCATCCTTGCGCCCCTCTCCCTTCCCAGTACCTCACTGATTGCTGGACCATGAGCTTCATACTTGAACCTTCATCATCACTTCCTGCACAGCAGGAAGGAACAGAGGCAAAGATATTGTTGCATAATGCTCCACAATTTTGTCACTCATTAATTTATCTAGAAGCCTAGAGATAAGAGCACGCTCATCCTCCAGTTTGGATTGCATCAGAGGAGAAATACAGATGTAGACTGCTCGTTGAACAGCTTCATAAAGAGTGTTCAGTACATCCAGCAACTTTCTAACAACGGCCTGAACCTGTGGATCATCCTTCGCCAATTGCTTTGCCAAGGCCCCACTGAATAATACAGCGCCTTCACGATCCAATGAATATCTCTCGTCATCTGATGCCTTCCTGTTCAAGTTTTTTTGAGAATTTGGGAATAACAGGGACACATTTTCATTTCCATGCTTGTGAATAATCAATATACCAGCATTAATAATGTTTTCAGGTACCAAGTGATGAGCACAATTTGATAGAAGCAGGTCAATCTCCCTTCCTGGGTGAATATGGCTTCTGTCCATGAACATCTCCTGTTCATTTGATGTTGCCTGCGAACTGATGGTTTCTCCTCTGCATACCAAGTACATTGACCTTTCTATCCCATGCTTGGGCACAAAAACAATGAAACCATTGGTTCTTATTTTCAGCATTCTAACTTCTGTGTCCATGGGGTTCTTTCTAAAGAGAATAACAGTATAGAGTTCTACTGATGCTCTGCTAGCCATCGGGGCCTTCCTGTGTTGAAAATTCCAATTCTCAACAATACTGGTTAGCTTGTCTTTGTTGTCAAAAATTTCAGAAAGTTTGCAAATCTCCATAGATTTAGCAAACAGTCGGTGGACAATAACTTCTGCATATCTTCTAGTTCTAATTGGCGAGGTGAAATGCGTACAAAGTGGAGTTGTAAGACCATAGTGACCAAACTCGGGGGAATTAAGATTTCCCCTCCAAAAATGAACTGCATGCGCCATTCCTCTGGTTGAGAAAATCCGAATAAGCTTATTGAAGTGAGGATCAGCACCACAAGCATGATCAAGAGAATCAGTTAATGCTTTTGATGAAGTTACATCCAGATCAATACCTACAACTGCAGCAGTTCGGAGAAAGGATTCAAGCAACTCCTTGGTTGGGCTAAGATGACACCTTAAGAGAGAGTACATAGGATAATGGTGCAGTACCTTTTCAGCCACAACCTTGTTAGCTACTTTCATATTTTCAGAACTATAATCTTGATCATAACTAAAACTATCAAGCAAGGTTCAAAATTGCGTATTGCATAGTTGTGGCATTTTTTTAAATTGCAAGGTTTGAATTATGATGAGTGTCTAGAATCCTCTTTGGGAATTACAATAGATCGCAGAAGAAAACAAAGACTAGAAGATAGAAAATGACATCGAGACAATTTCAACAACGTCTTTCTCTCCCAAGACCAATCCCAACTAAATTCCTCCGTACCTTCCTTTTCCCTCTCCCCGCTCATTAATAGTCCTATTCTTTAGAGCCGGATCTAAGCTAATTTGTTAAATGGCTTTGGAACCCTCTTTTTTCCACTATCAAAATATTCAATATTATTCTTATTATTATTACTACTGTCTGGGTCCCTATCACTATTACAAGACTTAGAAACAAAAGGATGAATCTTCAGTCACTTAGGAAAATGCTTAAATCTTGCCATTTCTTTTTGCTCATGTTTTGCAATTCAGGCCATCCTCTTTTCTTGGTGTTTAGTTAGGGATTTTCCTGTAGGCACATTTGAAAAAGAGGATGAGCCTTTTGCTTTAGAAACCTGTTTTGAGGGAGATTTTTGAACTGTGCCTTTTGTAACAAGAACGGAGGGTTGAAACTACACTTGAATGAGGAGAGTTTTTGAGAAAAGAAATTTTATCTAAAAGTTTTTCTTGTTCTGTTTTGAAAACTTTTCTTTCTATTTTGAGAGATGTGGTTAAATCCGCAATTTTATAAATTATCTCTAAAATATAAAAAAATTCAGATTTAGAGTTTTATGAAATAGATTGGTCTTTCCCTTCATGCCCAGTTTCACTCGTGTGACTATAGATCGATTCATAGTCAATACAAGGTGCTAAGACTTGGGTTCTATCCTAAATGGTAAACCCTAATAGAAGGATAACCCATGATCTTATATAGTGTTTTGTTATTTCTTATCATTCCGGTGTGGGACATTTACTTTAACACGCTCCTCAGCGCAGATCGGGCTGGACAACATCTGGTTGTATAAATAGATCAAACAAACCCTTAACAAGCTACCCTTAATCATGGGTTCTAACACAAGGGAATTCCCCATGTTTTGTAACTATCATTCAACTCCATGTAGTCAAAAGATATTTCAGCCTTGACTTTATCTCTTTTCTCTTATTTTAGGATACCGTTTTCAAACGCTCCAGTAAAAGCCATCAGAGAGGTTAGACCTAAACCTATGTACCTTATGTCATAAAATTGACATGAGGTCACTTTCTTTTAGTGACATGAATTTTGATAACCTAAACCTTCTATTGGGTAGTAAAATTCAATGTTCTTACTTCTTAGACTGGCTTAAGAAAATTGTTTGATCTGTTTGACCTCATTTTGTAAGGATATCCTCAAGATCTTTGATCTTAGAGTATAATTTCTTGTGTTCCAAAGAAATGGTTTCAAACAATTAGCAGTTTTAATCCATTCAAGTTCAGTATCGTTAGACTTCTTTATTAAGTAACATATTTTCTCTTTAAGATTTTCTACTTCAGACTCTAGCTTGACGAACCATTAAATTGGACTCTTCTCTTAAGTGTTTTCTAAGGACACACTCATTGTTTGCTAACCTCTTTTCTAATTCTTTTGTAAAACGGATAAGGCACCAGAATCATTGTAAGAAGTTCCAGCCTTATCATCATCTGATTCATCATCTACATCGGCCATTAGTGCCAAGTTCTCAGGTTCACTTTCAGAGGAATTCTCTAGCCATTGATCTTGTTCCGCCATTAGTGCTACACTAGCTTCCTTTTGGTTTGCTAATTGCATATTTTTAGAGTAATAGCTGGCCGCCTCTTCTTTGTTTGACAACAATCCTTGGCTAGGTGTTCGGTTTTGCCGCAGTTGTAATACTTCATTTGATCAAGGCCACTAGCTCTCTCGGACTGCTCCAACACTTTCTCTTTCTGCTTGGAGGATGAAGTTCTCTACTTGTTGGAGGAGGAGAGAAATGTCTTTTTGAAGTACTTCTTGTTCATCATGTTCGTAAATAGAGCCAGTTGCTTCTTCATCTCATTCATTTCTGGAACCAAGTTAGGATCAGAGGTGTCTTGGTGGATCACAACCTGTTTAGAAGTCCTCTTGTGCTTCTTGTCAATCACAAGTGCAAGAGGATCAACCATTGAGTTCTCTTTAGGGTCACTCTGCATGTCACTCCCTTTTAATGCTTACCCATCTGTCACTGGAGGCGGTGACATTGACATTAGTAATAAGTAATAACTGGTAGTTATATAACAAACTGACAGTGACATTAAAATTTGACAGTGCCATAATAAACTTGTAGTGACACTCATAGATTCTCAATTTTATTACCTTGTTAGTCACAATTTTGTTCACATGTAAAAGTAACCACATTTTAAAATTGAGCTTCAATATAGTACTATTTAAGGAAAAATTCCCTCTTTTTGTCGGTCTTGTAATCATGGTATGATTATATTATGCAATATATGGAGTCTATGCTCTTTTTTTATATGAGAAGCACGATTCATACTGAGAGGAAAACATCACGTGTTTGATTTGCTCTGAAACAAACATCACAAATCTTATTCAAAGTCTCACTGACAGTTTTATTAAAATGTACTGGAAGCAAATGAACCACTCTGGAAGAAGGGTGACCCAACCTTATGTGTCATAAATCAAACGTACTCATACCCATCATATATGAAGCTTGAGCAATTCCGGCCCCACACAGAAAATAGACCTTGCCACGACGCTCACCCACTCCAATCAGCGTCTTCAAAGTGAGGTCATCGACCCATCGTGAATCCTCTTGTCCCATCGGGCAATCTTGGACCAGGTGGTGGTTTTGAGGTTTCAGTACCATGAGCAGGAGAAGGGCGCATTCCTTGGACTTGTACGTTTGTTCCACATTTCTGCCTCCTTCCACGTCCTCTGCTCCGGCCTGCATGTCCATCTTTCTCTTTTGGTACATGCTCACCAATTGTCTCCTTTGGTAAATTGCCCCCATCCTTTTTCATCATGTGAATCACCATGTTGTTCGCTAGGATGGTGGCTCTCCTCATCCACAGCTTGATCAGATAATGCTTGACCACAAGTATGTCTATCAGTGCCTGATTCCCTCCATACTTTCTTTTTCTGTGCCCTCTTTCCCTCTTTCATGAGAAGTTTCACCCTCAATCCAAATCCCCAATCTTGTTCATTATTCAAAGTGGCCACAGCTTTTACAGCAGCTTCTATGGTATCAAATTCCACAAGTGCATGCAGCTTGCCTCTAAGCAGCTTTTCTGCAACTAAACACTTTTTTGAACTTCTTTCAACCTGCGGTTCGCGGATACTGATGATATGCTGGATATGTCCAGCCGGACTAAATAGTTGCTTAAGATCTTCCACTGAGTGATCCGCTGGTAAGTTCTCCACCAATACAGTGCATAGCTGGGGGTCCCTAACCCCAATGTATGGGAGAGGATTCAGTCTCTTCACTGCTTTCTCATCAGAACTGACGACCATAAGAGAAGATTCCTTGAGTGCAGTCACAATCAGTGGTATTTCTTTCGTCAGATTCTTCATTCTTTTGAATGAAGCAATAACGTTAAGAGGAACAAACCCTTCTTCATTGTTGGTTACATATTTCAGAAGAAACTTATCAGTTAGCAAATTTGCATCACTGAAGTAATATTCCACCTGCATGATAATATTGAGGCAAAGATCATCACTGAGAACAGTGGTGAAGGGGGGAACTTGATCGGATGGATGATGAGGATCCTCATGAAAGTCGGGACGCTGACCATCATTTTCACCATAAGGCGGTGGAGATGAAGTGGTGGCAACGACGGTGCTGTTGGAGGCAATGGGGATTCCCATGCCCCCGGATCCGTGTCCGTATCCGAATAAGAGTTCGGGTTCCATTACCAGAGAGGAGAAGGGGTGTTTTTTTTTCTGTATGCTTCTGCTACCTTTCGGTCTTCATCACCTTCCCTTATCTCATGGGTTTCCGATTATTGGGTTTCGATAACGGTCCATATACGTTCAAGTACCCAGACATTGATTATTGGGCCATGGGCCGACCCTTCAAGTCTAACAGGCTGAGGTTACCCTTGGTCTCGGCTGCAGAGTCTTGCCTCGACTAGATGACACGACTTTGTCACTGGCGCAAAGAACACACTAGTGCTGACTCACAACGGAATAGACAACCCTTATACCTGTAAAAAAATGTGAAGACCTTTCCCGCCGAAGGAATGACACATGTGAATTAATTGGTCTAGTAGAAGCACGTGACCGGCACATGTACGAGCTCGGGACACATGTCACATAGCGATAGCTTAGCTATCATGTATGCGGTAATGCCGATAAATACTTTTTTCTTGGGACCTTTGTAATGATGGACAAATGTACTGTTCATCCAACAAATTGTGATTTTATTTAGAATCAATATTTGTATATGCTTATGATTTATACATGGGAAATATAAAATTACAAATGGTTTTAGTGATTTGAGATCACTAATGCATTATATCATTCTATTTTTCTAGTTTGGCCATCCTGAGTGGATCGACTTCCCTAGAGAAGGCAACCATTGGAGCTATGACAAGTGTAGGCGTCAGTGGGATCTTGTGGACATGGGTCACTTGAGATACAAGGTTCAAAATTATATTGAAATCTACTTCGTTTTCGGGTGTGTATTTAATTTCAAAATAGGATGATCAACTATTTAGTTAGTATTATGTTCTGTTTCTAATAACCAGGGTTGCAGCCAAATGTTCAATAACATATTTGTTTTCTATTTCTTGTTTTTCCATACCAACGCTAAATTTCTCTGTTTCCTATTTTGATGTTCTGTTTCCCTTTTTTGTGCAGTTCATGAATGCATTTGACAGGGCCATGAATTTGCTTGATGATGAATTATCTTTCCTTGCTTCAGAAAAACAGATAGTAAGCAGCATAGATGAATATAATAAGGTACAATACACACAATGGCATATAAATAAATAAAAATTGATCTAAATAGGACTAAATGGAAACTTAATTTCCCAAATAGGACTAAGGCCTAAATCATTCACAAATAGGACTAAATACAAATTTCTGCCCTAAATACCTTAAGAGTATTAATTCATGATAAAATGTTTTAATTGATAATAAAATCGTAAAAAATAATAAAAAATGAATAAATATTTCTAAAAAAATTAAAAACAATTGAAAACAAAACTTAAAGAATTAATAAAAAATAGTAAAAACCCATAAAAAAAGTATAGATGCCTTTCCCACCGCCTCTACCGCCTCCCAGAACCACCACCTCCGATCAGTGAAACAAATGCCATTTTTTCTGAAAATGCCAAGAAAATGGCATTATATTACTTTGATAATGCCAAATTTTTCATTGAAAGTTGAAACTGCCATCAATATGGCATTACTAATGCATGTTGGCATTTTCTTTTCCGGTAATCGGAGCTGGTGGTGGCAGAGGCGGCGTTATATTTTTCTTTTTACATTTATTTTTTTAAGTTTTATTTTTTTAATTTATAATTTTTATTCTTTTTTATTTTTTTATTTTTATTAATTTGATTAAATATTTATTTTAGTCCAAAATGCTACAGGGGTATATTTGTCCAAACACACATAATTAGTCTTACTAGGGAATTTAAAACAATGTAGCCCTATTTGTGATTTATGGCTACCTTTTACTCCTAGTTAGGTAATTCTCTCATATATAAATATAATGCTGGGATGTAGTAGTATCATTATGATGTTCTGTCATTGATGATATTATATTTTGTTATGGGAGCCTTGGTGAACAAGTTACGGTGTTGGAGAGGTCACATGTTCAAGTTTACACCCTTGTGATGGGACTCTTCCTTGGATCCTTGCCTTATGGGGATACCAATGTGCACGAGCATCCCTTTCTATTAGTCAGGATATGATCATTTAAACATATATAATTATTTTGTTGATTCTTTCCCTAAAGTCAAGAGCTTTGTACTGGTATACTTTATTATAAATAGAGAAACTAAATACACAAACAACTCAGTTATTCTGACATATTTTTCACGCCATTCAAGTTGGTATTGGAGCACAGATCTGTGAGCTTGATAAAATAAACCTAGGTCTCTTGTGGTCTAACAGTCCCGTTGACTAGCCTTTGTAGTCCTCTGCCATAGCCATATTCCCGTTATTTATGTGTATCAAGAAAGTTTGAGTAGTCCTGTTATTCAACCACCATCATAAGGCTAACTATTGAAACTAACCTCCAAACCTTCGAGTAACATATGTGTGTTTTCTAGTTACTCTTATTTTACCTTTTTCTATGGCCCTAGAATGACCTAGATCTGGGATATTCATGTACTTCTACCACAGCTTCCACAAATTAAGGTCTTGTGTCATTTCTTTTCTCTATAATCCCTCAATCACATCAGCAAAACACATTGGTATGAATTACATGGATTGGCAAGTTGTTGAAATATGGTTTCTAGTCCAAGATTTGTTGGATAATCTCATAACAAAGGAAAATGACATTGCTACTGCTGAATGAGATCAATCAAAGAAAGCAAAATAGTCGGTGTCTCTCTTACACGAGTCTATCGATCCAAAGCTTATGGTTCACTTTCGGAGCTACAAAAAGACATTTCATGACACCTGGAAGAAGGCTAAGACAGTTTACTCAAATGATGTTTGAGGACTCTATGTTGTTGTTCAGAAGATGGCTACACTACAAATGATAGACTGTGACCTCCCTGCGTATTTGAACAAGGGTCAATCTACGATTAAAGAAGTAAAGTTAATTCTGACAGGTGATGAGCCACCACACACAGTAAATTTGATAAAATGTGTATGGTGTTTATCTTGCACGGTCTTCACAAAGGTATGAAATTTGTTTGGAACCAAATGCTAACAAATCATAGTGTGCCTACATCCCGCGTGAGTGGATCTAATTGATCCTTTATTGCGAGTTCCACCTTTGGAAGTCATGCTAGGAGTTGGTTCTCAACCAGGATCCATAGCATAATCAAGTGCGCTTTATAGTTTTTATCCTGATCTTAATCAAGTGGCTAAGGGAAAGAATCAAGCAAGCAGTTAGAGTTCTAGTAATATTAGTATTAATATTAATATTAATTAGCAAGCAGTTAGAGTCCTAGTAGTATTAGTATTAATATTAATATTAATATTAATATTAATTAATCCCTACTTTAAGTAGTGTTCCTCTGTTTTAGTTATTTACAATAGCAGTTTAGTTTCTGGTTTTGTTTTGAGAAACCCTTAACATCTATATAAGGGGTTCTCAGTCAAGTTAATAATCAGCTTTTGGAAAATTAACTCTGGGATTTCTTGACTAGGTCAGAGATCGGATTAATTCCGTTAAGCCTCTTAAGTTTTGTTCCTCTCTTCGTACTTGATTAAAAATTGATTAAAAAACATCTATATCCTGTGATCGTTTAGATCAGACTTTCCGCTCTCGGCCTTGGACTAGGTCACTTACCCGTGCCCTTTACAACTTGGTATCAGATTCTGGGACGATGGGGACCGACGCTACTGTTGCTGATTCCCTGAAAACCATGATTGAGAGTGTCGACCAAAGAAGCGTTTTAGGCTGCCGAGTAGCACGAATCCCGAAGGAGATAAGGCAAAACTCCGCCAAACTGGCTATCTTGAGCTATATATCGAAACATTCCAACAAATGTTGACTCACACAATAGGGATTTCAACTCATATGCATGTTAAAGTATTCACCGCCGGGCTCCGTGAGGTTGTTCGCATGGAGGTTGAATATCGGAACTCACTTGATCTTGACTTTGCTACGATGCTGGCACAAACGGTTGAGCGCAAAATCAGTTTACCTGCATCTTCGCCTGCATGCTCGGTGTGTCCCCAATCAGTTGCTCGTTCAGAATCAATACCTGTTCTTGCTGCATCAAACCTCTATCAGCGCAACTCTAATCCAAACTTTAAGAAGATTTCTCGTGCAAATTCTGCTATCTGCAGAGAAAAGGCCTTTGTTATAACTGTGACGATCCGTGGGTTCGCGGCCATCAATGCAAACGATGATTCTTTATTGAAATTCCGGATGATTACCAGTCAGACGATCAGTTTGAGCCAGCTCTCTCTGTTCATGCTATGACTGGAATTGGATCACTTCCACAATGCAATTAGCTGCAGCCCTTAACGCTAAACCCATCACAGTTTTGGTAGATTTGGGCAGTAATCATAATTTTGTGCAAAGGTTGGTTTTAGAGAGTACCGTGTCGCTTCACCAGTGATCCCATCTTCATGTTCTCATGGCTAATGGAGACCGTGTACCTATTTTGGACGCCTGTCCTCGTCTCACCTTCCTCGTGGACGGACACACCTTTACTGCTGACTTTTGTGTACTTCTATTGGCCGGGGTTGACATGATTTTGGGCTTTCATTGGCTTTGCGGCCTTGGCGCAATTGAATGGGATTTTTCACGTCTTTCAATGCGGTTTTGATGGCAGGGCAGCCAGGGCTCTCTAGTGGAATGGCAAGATCATCCTAGCACATCTACACTTCAGGCCTACATGCTCACCACACCATCTCCCAAAATGGAGTCTCCTTGCTCAGTTTGAGGATGTCTTCCGCCTGGCATCGGACTGCCACCTCCACGCGCTTGTGATCACAAGATAACTTTGCTTCCCGGAACGAGCCCAGTGGTTGTTCGACCTTACCGTTATCCATATTTCCACAAAGACGAGATTGAGAGGCAATGTTGTGAAATGCTCAAGCAAGGTATCCTCTACCCAAGCAGATCTCCCTTTCCCTCACACGTCCTTCTAGTTTAAAAAACTGAAGGCACATGGCAGTTTTGTGTTGACTACATAGAACTCAATTCCAGAACCGTTAAGGATAAGTTTCCAATTCCTGTCATCGATGAGTTGTTGGACGAACTTCATGGGTTCAATTTTTTTTTTATATAACTGGAACTGCTATCGGGATACCACTAGATCCGCATGGCAGAAAAGGATATTGAAAAGACAACCTTTCAAACTCATCATGGACACTTTGAATTTTTAGTGATGCCGTTTGGACTCACGAATGCTCCATCCACGTTTCAAGGCCTCATGAACGACATTTTTGCACCATACCTATGAACGTTTGTCCTCATCTTCTTTGATAACGTACTCATTTATAGCAAGTCTTGGGTCAAACATGTCTATCATGTTCATTGTTGAAATATAAACTACAATGCTATTAAAGATGGAGAGAAGGATTTTCTGTGTATTTCATTAGAGGGTTAAGGCCCTATATATATATATTACAAAGATGGAATATTCCTATATAAGATGCTATACAATAATAATGTCTAGAGTATATTCCTAAAGCATATTCTAGAGCATATTCCTAAAGCATATTCCTAGATACAATAATACTTTCACACTCCCCCTCAAGTTGGAGCATAGATATTTATCATGCCCAACTTGTTACATAAGTAATCAACTCGAATCCCATTTAGAGCTTTAGTGAATAAATCTCCAAGTTGTTCTCCAGTCTTCACATACCCGGTAGAGATTAATCCTTTTTGTATCTTCTCTCGAATAAAATGGCAATCAACCTCAATATGCTTTGTTCTCTCGTGAAATACGGGGTTGTTTGCTGTGTGTATAGCAGCTTGGTTATCGCACCACAACTGAGCAGGCATTGGTGTCTTCAATCCAATTTCATTCAATAAATGGTGTATCCATATTATCTCACATGCGGATTGTGCCATAGCTCGATATTCTGATTCAGCACTAGAACGAGAAACCACATTCTGTTTCTTACTCTTCCAGGATACAAGATTACCACCAACAAAGACACAATAGCCAGATGTAGATCTTCGATCATCTTTAGAACCGGCCCAATCAGCATCTGCAAAGCATTCTATTCTCATGTGATCATGGTTTTGATAAACAATACCTCGTCCTGGTGCTCCCTTTAAGTAACATAATATGTGTTCTACAGCAGCCCAATGATCAATGGTCGGAGATGACATGTATTGACTTACTACACTCACAGAATAAGCAATATCTGGACGGGTGACTGCGAGATAATTAAGCTTTCCAACCAGTCTTCTATATCTTTCTGGGTCTTCAAACGGTGTGCCTTCTTGAGTGAGTTGCACGTTGGGAACCATGGGTGTTGTACTTGGTTTTGACCCTAATTTCCCTGTCTCAGCTAGTAAGTCAAGTACATATTTACGTTGAGATAGAAATATGCCTTTCTTACTTCGTGTTACCTCAATTCCCAGAAAGTATTTCAAAGAGCCAAGATCTTTCGTCTGGAATTGACTATGCAGAAAATTCTTAAGGGCAAAAATACCTGCATTATCACTCCCTGTAATCACAATATCATCAACATATACCACAAGCAATGTGACACCTGATTCTGTTTGTTTGTAAAATACAGAGTGGTCTGATTTGCCTTTTATCATTCCAAATTGTTCAATTGATTGACTGAATTTCCCAAACCATGCACGAGGACTCTGTTTCAGACCATAAAGAGATTTGCGAAGTCGACAAACTTTACCATACTCCCCCTGAGCAACAAATCCCGGAGGTTGCTCAATATAGACTTCTTCCTTAAGGTCACCATTCAAAAATGCATTTTTAATGTCCAATTGATGTAAGTGCCAATCATGAATTGAAGCGAGTGAGATAAGTAACCTGACAGATGTTAATTTAGCAACAGGAGAAAAAGTGTCAGAATAATCAACACCATATGTTTGAGCATAACCCTTCGCAACTAATCGGGCTTTCAACCGAGCAACGGATCCGTCTGGGTTAACCTTAACAGCAAAGACCCACTTACATCCAATAGATTTCTTCTCTGTAGGTAAGTCAACCAAATCCCATGTACCATTAAGATCTAAAGCATTCATTTCCTCTACCATGGCTTGACGCCAGTCAGGATGAGACAGAGCTTCTTTGACAGATTTGGGAACAGAAATAGAATCAATGGAAGCAATAAAAGAACATGAAGCAGGAGATAACTGATTGTACGACACAAATGAAGAAATAGGATGAGTACAAGACCGTGTACCTTTACGTACTGCTATTGGGAGATCAAGATCTGATGTGGAAACAAGATCTGAAGATGCAGATACTGGTTCAGGACATGAGATCAGAGTCGAACTAGTATCAAGAAAAGTAATCACAGGTATCGCCGGTGGAGGGTGATCAGGTGCTTTGTGTCGACGGGTGTATACCAAATGTACGGGAGGCCTAGGGTCATGAACAGTAACTTGTGGAATATTTGTCGAAAGTGTGGACTCAGGAATAGTCATCGTGTAAATGAGAATATCGTCATTACTCTCACGAATATCTGCCTTAGATGATGAAAAAGGTGTATTTTCATGAAATGATGCATCAATAGAAACAAGATACCGACCAGTACTCGGACAAAAACATCTATACCCCTTCTGGACTCGAGAATAACCCAAGAAAATACATTTTAATGATTTCGGATCTAACTTTGTTAGATGAGGATTAACATCTCTAACAAAACAAGTGCAACCAAATATTTTAGGTGGGATAGGAAAAAGCTCTCTGTTTGGAAACAGACAATGATAAGGAGCTTTACCATTCAAAACAGAAGATGGCATTCGATTTATCAAAAAACATGCAGTAGACACGGCATCTGCCCAAAATTGTTTAGGCACATTCATTTGGAATAGAAGAGCCCTTGCAGTTTCTAACAGATGTCGGTTCTTTCGTTCCGCAACTCCATTTTGAGGAGGTGTATCAACGCATGAAGTTTGATGAATAATGCCATGTTGAAGCATAAATGACTTAAATGTAGCAGATAGATATTCTTGGGCATTGTCTCCTCTTAACACCCGAACAGGAACGTTAAACTGAGTTTTAATTTCAGCACAAAAGGAAGAAAAATGAGTGAACAACTCAGATCGACGTTTCATGAAATACAACCATGTCATACGAGAATAGTCGTCAACAAAGGTAACAAAATATTTAAAACCAGCTTTAGACACAACCGGGCAAGCACCCCAAACATCAGAGTGAACAAGGTCAAATGGAGCATTTGCTCGTTTATTAACTCGCGGGCCTAAGCTAGTACGATGGTGTTTCGCAAATTGACATGACTCACATTGTAAAGAGGTCATCTTATTAAATTGAGGATTTATTTGCTTCATTAATGGGAGAGATGGATGTCCTAATCGGTAATGAGCATCTAACAAAGTCCCAACCCCAAGACAAGAGATACCTTTGGTGATGGATGTATCCAAAATATATAGACCAGCTGACTCATGTCCTTTACCAATAATCTGCATCGTTAACAGATCCTGAAACACACAATATCCCGGAAAAAATGTTACAGAACAGTTAAGAGTACGAGTCATTTTACTGATGGAAAGCAGATTAAATGCAAAATTAGGAAGACTCAAAACAGGCGATAATGGTAATGTAGAAGTTGGAACAACAGTACCAGATTCAAGAACGAGTGAGGTAGATCCATCAGCTAAAGTGACACTAGAAGTAGGTAAATATGAATGAAATGACGAGAATAGACTAGGATTACCGGTCATATGATCTGTGGCACCTGAGTCAATGACCCATTTCGAGGATGAGGAAACAAGACACGTGTTTGAAATACCTGAATTAGCGGTTACCGAGATAGGGACAGAGGAATGCTTTAGAGTTTCTTGGTAGCAAATAAATTTGGCATACTCGTCTGAAGAAATAGCAATTGATCCATCGGATGAACTGGTAGCGGAAGCAACATGAGCAAGCTGATTTCCTTGATTTTTGAACAGCAATTTTCTACATTCTTTGATCAAGTGTCCGGGCTTCTTACAGTAATTGCATATTACTCCTCTGTCAAATCCACTCGTACAAGACATTTTTTTTTTTAATTTCTTTTTTTTTGTTTTTTTTTTGTTTTATTTTTATGAGAATGTAATTAGGTTCAAAATTGAGATATCCAATGAGAACTTACAGCAGCCCATTTGTGGAATCGACCTTGGAGAATAAAGTTGGGCTTTGACTGAGCAGCCCGTTTGTGGACTCAACCTGGAGAATAAAAGATCCAGCTGTTTGGGCTTTGACTGCTAATCCAGACGGAGGGTCGATGCCAGAGTGCCAGACCTCAAAGAAGAACAGCCAGACAAAGGAGCGTGCGTATGTCCGTTACGAAGCCTGGAAGGAAGAAAAGATTTCCGCGTAGCCTGGACGATCTCTTTTCGATGTCAGCGTACTGAAGAGCTGGAAAGAAACGCAACCATCCCAAAGAGAAGCTACAGCAGAAAGGCGATATGCAGGCGAGCTGGATGGCGTTCTCCGATCCGAAATCTGGCCGCAGAATGACGTCACGTGCCGGCACGTGAGTTGAGGTCAGCGAGCTGTGGCAGCGCGTACGTCTCAGTCGCGTAGAGTTTGGGTGTCAGACTTTGGTTTCTGGGTCGTCGAAGGTAGCCGCACCACCTGGGTACGGTGGTGATGAAATGTGTGGTCTGAGAATTTCTTAGGTCTGGTGGGGCAGACTGTATGCTAATGAATTTTCTAGGAATTTAGCTCAGGCTAATTGATTTTCTGGGAAATTAGAATGGTGCCTAGAGGTTCTGAAGAATCTGATAAAACTGAACTCAAGTTCCTTGAAGGAAGAATCCAGTCTGAAAATTAAACTGAAATATGAAAAACTAAACTAGAATGGAAGTCTCTGATACCATGTTGAAATATAAACTACAATGCTATTAAAGATGGAGAGAAGGATTTTCTGTGTATTTCATTAGAGGGTTAAGGCCCTATATATATATTACAAAGATGGAATATTCCTATATAAGATGCTATACAATAATAATGTCTAGAGTATATTCCTAAAGCATATTCTAGAGCATATTCCTAAAGCATATTCCTAGATACAATAATACTTTCACATTCATCTTGTCCTTAAAAAAATCCAATGCAATTTTGGCGCTCCACAGGTACAATACCTTGGTCATATTATCCATAGCAATGGCGTTGGGGCTAGCGGGTTATTACCGAAAATTTATTCACCATTGTAGAAAATGTTACATTTATTATTTATTATCAGATTGTGTACGTATGTAGTTGTGTAGATAAAATAGAGTTGTTAGACTGCATTTATTAGCAGATAAGTACTGCAGTTAGATAGATCCTATTTTTTAGGATCTGCACAGGGAGTTTGTTGTGTGTACTCTGTATATATATTCTGGCCGTATGGCTCATCATAATCAAGGAAGTTTTATTCGTAAAACTTACATGGTATCAGAGACTTGGTTTAAACAAAACGATGGTAGAAACCAGTGATTCATATTCATCACGCACTAGCAACCTTACCTCCCAAATTAACTCTATGACAAATTACCAGTCTCCTATCCATTCATCTATGCTAATCACTAGCCATAGATTGAATGGAAAAAACTATTTGGAATGGTCTCAATCTGTCAAGCTCGCAATTGATGGGAGGGGAAAATTGGGCTACCTCACGGGAGAAATCAAACCAAAACTTCCTGGTGAGGAAGGCTACAATACATGGAGGTCAGAAAATTCACTTGTAACAGCCTGACTTCTCAGCTCCATGGAAGCCTCAATTGCAAAACCTCATATGTTTATGAAGACAACAAAAGAGGTCTGGGATTCCATAAAAGAAACTTACTCGGACCTTGAAAATTCTTCTCAAATTTTTGAATTAAAAACCATTCTCTGGTAGTCCAAACAAGGAGATAGAGATGTCACCACCTACTTCAATGAAATGGTGTCTCTATGGCAGGAGTTGGATCAATACTATGATGATGAATGGGAAAGTGCAAAAGATCTGACCAAGCACAAAAAAAGGGAAGAAAATGACAGGATTATATGTTCCTGGTAGGAGTTACTCAAAGCTTTGATGAAGTGAAGGGAAGGATTCTGGGAAAGAAACCTTTGCCTTCAATCAGAGAGGTATTCTCTGAAATCAGGATAGAAGAAAGCAGGAAAAGGATTATGAATAACACTCCAGGATCTCAGAATGATACTGGAGAGTCCTCAGCATTGGTGGTCAAGGGAGATGAAAGAAAGAAACCATGGTGTGATCACTGCAAGATCCATGGAAAACCACCAGGAGCAGGAAAAAAGAAATTTGAGAAAGCTTTACATACTACCATGCCTGAAACTGAACAGGAGCAACAAATCAACTTCAATCAGCCCACTTTCACAAAGGAACAGATAGAGCAACTCCTACAATTTCTAAATACCCAAAAGATTCTTAACCAGGAAACCCCTTCTTGTTCTTTTGCCCAAAATGGTAAAATTACATCATATTTTTGTTCTGAAAAATCAAAAAACACCTGGGTCATTGACTCAGGTGCAACAAACCACATGACCTCTTTTCCAAAATTCTACTCCTCATATAACCCGTGTGCACGAGATAAAAAAGTTAAAGTTGCAGATGGCTCTTTTTCAGCCATTGCAGGGATGGGAAATGTTAAAATTTCCTCAATCCATTAACCTCTCTAAAGTCCTTCATGTTCCAAACCTTTCTTGTAATCTTGCCTCTGTTAGCAAATTAACCAAAAAGCTTCAGTGTTATGTTAAATTTTATCCTTATTGCATTTTTTCAAGATCTGGCATCGGGGAAGATGATTGGCAGTGCTAGAGAGGAAGATGGACTCTATGTCTTTGATGAAGGAACTAAATTGAATAAACAAGGTCAAGGAAATACTTGTCTTCAAACTATTTCTTTTTCTTGTAATAATGAAGTGTATTTAATGCAATATAGACTAGGTCATCCTAGTTTTTACTATTTAAAAAGGTTGTTTCCTCAGTCGTTTCATAATAAAGACCCTTCATCATTTCATTGTGATATGTGTGCACTGGCAAAACATCATAAGAATTCTTATATCCCTCATAGTTACAAACCTACTAGCCCTTTTACTCTTGTGCATAGTGATATTTGGGGTGCATCTAGAGTTTCTACCTTGAAAGGACAAAGATGGTTTGTAACTATTATAGATGATCATACCCGGGTAACATGGGTTTTTTTGATTAAAGAGAAATCTGAAGTTGAAAATGTTTTCAGAAAATTTTACTCAATGGTTCAAACTCAATTCAATACCAATATCAAAATGGTAAGAAGTGATAATGGCCGTGAGTATTTTTCTCAAAACTTAAACATTTTTTTTGCTGAAAAGGGGATTATTCACCAAAGTTCTTGTATAAATACACCTGCTCAAAATGGAATAGCTGAGAGGAAAAATAGACATTTACTTGAAGTCACTCGTGCAATCATGTTTTCCACCAAAGTTCCAAAATATTTATGGGGAGATGCTGTTTTACATGCCCACCTATTTGATTAATAGGATGCCATCAAAAACTCTAGGATTTAAAACTCCCATTGATACACTACAAACCTGCTTTCCTAAAACCAGAATTATCAGCTCTCTTCCTTTAAAGATTTTTGGTTGCACAGTGTTTATTCACAACCCTGACAAAACAACAAGTAAATTTGACCGTAGAGGAAGAAAATGTGCCTTTTTAGGACTGTCTTCAACACAGAAAGGATATAAATGTTTTGATCCTACAACAAAAAAGATGTTTGTAATAATGGACATTGTTTTTGTTGAAAATCAACCCTTTTTTAATACTCATCTTCAGGGGGAGAATTCAAGTGAAGATGGTAACAGTGTATTACATATCCATGAAAATCTTGAATTTCTTGACATTAATCTTGATGCACATCATACTAAAAACTCATCAGATAATAGCCAAGGAATAGAAGAAAATGAAATAAATATAACTGAAACAAGGAAAGAAGATGAGCAGCAGATAGGTAAAATTTTTGGCAAAGTTTATGAAAGGAGAGTTCCAAATCAAAGAATAGAGGACATCTATGATCCTGCAACTGCTCATGAATCTGACTCAATGACAGAAAATGAAAAAGGTAATACTTCCAGTGATCTTGACTTACCAATTGCTCTCAGAAAAGAGAAAAGGTCATGTGTCAGATATCCTATTTCAAACTATGTGTCTTATTCCCAGTTGTCCTTGTCATTTGCAGCCTTTACCTCTAGTCTTTCCTCTATTACTATTCCCTTAACCATACTGGAAGCTCTATCTAAACCTGAGTGGAAGAAAGCTGTTTTGGAAGAGATGAATGCTCTTGATAGGAGTCAGACATGGCAGATTGGAGAGTTACCTAAGAATAAACCAACTTTGGGATGTAGATGGATTTTTACTCCTAAATTCAAGGCAGATGGAACCCTTGAACGATACAAGGCAAGATTGGTGGCCAAGGGATATACACAAATCTATGGCATAGACTATACTGAGACCTTTGCTCCAGTAGCAAAGTTAAATACTATACGAATTCTCTTATCTTTAATTGCTAACCTAGATTGGCCACTTCAACAGTTAGATGTGAAGAATGTCTTCTTAAATGGGAAGCTTGAAGAGGAAGTGTATATGAGTCCACCTCCTGGGTTTGAGAGTAAATTTGGCTCAAAGGTGTGTAAACCGGAGAAATCCTTGTATGGACTTAAACAGTCCCCAAGGGTTTGGTTTGACAGGTTTACTCAGTTCATAAAGAGACAGGGATTCAAGTAAGCTCAGGCTGATCATACACTTTTTGTGAAATTTTCAAGTAAGGGGGAGATTGCAATATTAATTGTTCATGTGGATGATATTATTCTTACAAGAGATTATCACAAAGAGACTGAAAGTCTAAAGAAGCAACTGGCTCATGAAATTGAGGTCAAAGATCTGGGAGAATTAAAGTATTTTCTTGGAATGAAGATGGCTAGATCAAAGAAGGGAATTGTTGTGTCACAGAGGAAGTATATTCTAGACCTTCTCCAAGAAACAGGCATGAGTGCATGTAGACAGGCAGATACTCCAATTGACCCCAATCAGAAGTTGGGAGATGTCAAAGATGGAGTTCCAGTCAATACCCAGCAATATCAAAGATTAGTGGGAAGATTGATATATTTGGCACATACAAGGCCAGATATTGCATTTGGTTAGCCAGTTTATGCATAATCCAGTCCAGGAACACCTTGATGCTACTTACAGGATTCTAAGGTATCTGAAATGTTGTCCAGGGAAAGGATTATTCTTTAAAAAGAACAACAGTAGAACTGTTGAGGCATTTACGGATGCAGACTATGCTGGCTCATTCACTGATAGAAGATCTACTTCTGGGTATTGTACCTATGTATGGGGAAATCTGGTGACTTGGAGAAGTAAAATGGACTTTGTGAACTGCTTTGGATCAAAAGAGTAATTTCAAAATTAAAATTGAAGATGGATCTACCTATGAAGTTGTATTGTGATAACAAGGCATCTATTAGTATTGCTCATAATCCTGTGCTACATGATCGTACTAAACACATTGAAGTGGACAGACATTTCATCAAAGAATAGATTGAAGCTGGAATTGTGTGCATACCATTCATACCTACTAAAGAACAAACAGCTGATATCTTCACAAAAGGATTTTTCAGACCAGTGTTTGAGCTACTTATAAGCAAGTTGGAGATGTATGATATATACTCACCAACTTGAGGGGGAGTGTAGAAAATGTTACATTTATTATTTATTATTAGATTGTGTACGTATGTAGTTGTGTAGATAAAATAGAGTTGTTAGACTGCATTTATTAGCAGATAAGTACTGCAGTTGGATAGATCTTATTTTTTAGGATCTGCACAGGGAGTTTGTTGTGTGTACTCTGTATATATATTTTGGCCGTTTGGCTCATCATAATCAAGGAAGTTTTATTCCTAAAACTTACATTAATGTGAGATTGCCAACCCACTCACACGATTGCTAAAGAAGAGTGCTTTTAACTGGACCGATGCCACATCACAAGCATTCAACGACCTCAAAATGCGCCTCTCCTCGGCTCTGGTACTCCAATTACCTAATTTTGGTAAAGAATTTGTCGTTGAATGTGATGCATCAGGGACTGGTTTTGGGGCAGTATTACAACATGAAGGACATCCGATTGCCTATTTTAGTAGAAAGATTGTTGTCCGCCACGTTCAATTCGCAGCCTATGAACGTGAACTGATAGGGTTAGCAATAGCAGTCACGCATTGGCGACCTTATTTATGGGGATATGAATTACTTATTCGGACTGATCATTCCAGACTGAAGCATTTACTGAATCAATGACTAACTACGTCCCCGCAGCAACATTAGTTGAGTAAATTAATGGGCTTTAATTTCCGAGTAGAATACAACCAGGACATGCTCGGACAACACTATCGCGGACGCCTTGTCTCGACAATATGAAAATGGTCCTGAAATAGCAGTACTCACGGTTCCTTTCAATACCCTTCTCAGTGAAATCCAATCTGAAAAAGCAGCCTACCCAATTTTGAACAAAATACGTCAGGAAATACAAGAGGGAAATTGCAACCCTGATTGGGAACTCCGAGACGGCTTAATCTATTATTGCTTTAAACTCTATATGTTAGTTACATTTGAAGTTGTTCAGACTTTGCTCTCGGTATTTCATAACATGGCTCTTCGAGTGATCTCACACTCCCAAATTCCCAGTCCCGATCCCAAAGTTCTGCCTGCCCCTCTCCTCATTCCTCACCACTCACACTTATTTACTCTATTTCTATTGGGCCAGCCCACTTCAATTTAGTTATAGGGCCTAAAACCCTATTATTGAACAAAATTAAAATTACTTAATAAGACTCTAATTACTGGTAGTGTCCGGGTCCCTAACATCGCTCCCCCCTTGAACTTCCACCTTGTCCTCAAGGTGGATGATAAGAGACTGATTTGGCCTTTGGTTTCAGCAGGTTTTCAACTTCATCCCGTTCATATAGCTGATCTTCTGTTCCCTTCTCTTCTTCTGGCTCTTCTATCAAGATAAATTGATAATGTTTCATTCCACAAGCATGTTCTTTGCTCCATTTGTTTCCACCTTTGAAGCATAAGCCCTTTTTACTTCTTTCTTCTAACTCTAGTTGTGTCAACCTTTGGCCTCCTTTCTATGACTTATTCGGTTTTGGTGATTCCTCCAATTTGTCCTCTGAATGTGTTCTCTCCGGAGTCAAAGAAGGTGTTCTTCCCTTTGTTGCTTCCACCCAGTTCAAGGGTCTAACCATTTTCCCTCCCTGTTCCTTCCAGCCTTTTTTGTTTTCTTCATCATTTTTTTCTCCTCTCCACACCTTGTTCTTCTGCTCCAACTAAAAAGCCTTGTCCATCAGTTCAATTAACCCACTGGTCTGATACAATTTCAGCTCCGTGCTAATTTCTTCTTTAAGGCCATTGAGAAACACTCCCTTTAACATCCCTTGGTCAGCAAGTTTGAGAGAAGCTACAACCTTTTCAAAGTGATCCCGGTACTCCATTACTGAATCAGTTTGCCTAATACTGAGCATAGGACCAAACAGGTTCTGGTTGGAAACGCCGGATCAAAGCTTCTTTGAAGTTAACCCAAGAATGGTCATCTGTCTGTTCGCCCCACCATTGCTACCAGTTCAGAGCTTTTCCAGCCATGTCTATCAAAATTATTTCTACTTTATCCTCTTCTGCCACATTGTTGAGTTTGAAATAGCGTTCAACCCTGATAATCCATCCATACGCATCGTCTCCACTAAAAAGTGGTAAATCGACCTTTCTTCCGGTATATACACGATCGCTGATTCTCGTTTGATCAGGGTTACATGAAACTGAGTGAGTTTCGTGAGATTTACCTTTGAAACTCGAGGAGCTCACACTTGCGGAAGTTTGGCGTCGACGGTTTGTGGTCGATCGTCCTCTTCTCTTCGTGCGACTGCCTTGGGTCTCGAGACTTCACATCTTCTCTAACAGTGTCTGCATCAGTTCGTCCATCATTGATTGCATCTCAGCGCGCATATCAGCCATAGATCGTTCCAGTGATATCTCCAGATTATTTATCCGCTACTCCATCGTAGTGAGGACCATACAAAGGTGCAGCGATCGTAGGCTTTGATACCAATGATAAGTAACCACAGAATTCCAGTGGATAATCGTAGTATATTAATGAAAGTTTAATGATGGAATACAGAAAAGAACAAAAGAAAAGGTTGAGACTCTTCGAGTGGTCTCACACTCCCAAATTCCCAGTCCCCCAAAATTCTGCCTGCCCCTCTCCTTAGTCCTCACCACTCACACTTATTTATTCTATTTCTATTGGGCCAGCCCACTTCAATCTAGTTATAGGGACTAAAACCCTATTATTGAACAAAATTAAAATTACTTAATAAGACTCTAATTACTGGTAGTGTCCGGGTCCCTAACAGGAACTCCGAGACGGCTTAATCTATTATTGCTTTAAACTCTATCTGTTAGTTACATTTGAAGTCGTTCAGACTTTGCTCTCGGTATTTCATAACATGGCTCATGAGAGTGTTGAAAAAACTCCTCAACGCCTCAAACAGGAGTTTTATTAGACTGTCATGAAAACTACAGTCGCCAACTTTGTCCAGGACTGCCAGACATGTCAGAAGCACACACGGTTAACATTACAACCGGCCAACTTATTGCAACCTCTTCCGATTCTGCATCACATTTGGGCAGATATTTCAATGGATTTCGTTGAAGGCTTACCTAAGGTTAGAAGCAAATCTGTCATTCTGGTTGTTGTGGACAAACTCTCTAAAGCTGCTCATTTTATTCCTTGAGCTCACCCTTGCACAACAGTTTTTGTAGCCGGCTACCGGAATCCATCGTCTCTGATCGCGACAAAATTTTTATGAGCACCTTCTGGCGCGAGTTATTCCGCCTATTCCGTACCAAACTTGTTTACTCCTCTACCTATCACTCACAAACCGACGGTCAAATAGAGGTTGTCAACCGCACTGTTGGGTTACTTTTACGTTGTATCACAAGTGATTATCCCAAGGAATGGGTTCGTTGGCTTCCTTGGATTGAGTATTGTTACAATACTTCCTACCATTCATCTTTGGGAGATGCACCATTTTGAATGGTTTATGGTCGAGAACCACCCCACCTGCTCTCCTATATGTCTAGGACGACCAAGGTTGATGGGGTTTGGGGTTGATCAGGAACTCATTGATCGTGATGATCTTCTCAATTGCGCTCGTGACCGATTGGCTCAAGCACAACAGCGAATGAAAATTCAGTTCGACAGAGGCCACCATGAGCTCTCTTTTGAACCCGGTGCTTGGGTCTGGCTCCGTTTGCAATGGTATCGCCAACTTACAGTTGGACGGGGGAATTCTATTTTGGTCCATTTCAGGTCTTGGAGTGCATTGGCCAAACTGCTTACTAACTCCAACTGCCGGCCACTGCTCGTATCCATAATGTTTCCATGTATGGAAAGAAGAAGACCATTATAACTATCACTAGATTCTTTACCCGCGCGTTGCACGAAATGATTAATTTATATTTTTAACTATGTCATTAGATGATGCTGGGAAGCTAATTAATAGATCGAACAACGGGGTTTAAATCTCTCGAAAATTTGTTTTAAGTTCTTGAGAGCACTAATAAAAAAATTGTACCACTAATAAAAAAATTGTCAGTTGATATGTGACTTATAAATCACAAATGGAAACTGCCATGCGTAACAATGACTAATTAATTACAACATTAATATCAAATTAAATACATAATTAAACAGCGCATTAATTGCTTGACCATTACTATTTCTGGATGGCAGGTCGGCCTGACTGGCAAGCCTGACGCTTGAGCTCCCTCTCCGTCGGGCTAGCAGGTAGTCTCCCTGTTGGGCTGGAAGGCATGCTCCCGGCAGGGTCGAGAGGCAGGCTCCCTGCTGGGCTAGAAGGCAAACCTCTAGGTGGGCTGAAAGGCAGACCTCTCGTTGGGCTGACAAACTAGCAGGCCGTCTTGGATTTCTGCTCCGTTGGACCTCCTTTCTTTGATGGGCTTGATCGGTTGCGCCGACTTGAGATCTGGGTTCCTGGACCCACTGGCTAGGCTGGCCTGGTGAGATAATGGGCTTGGGTTTAGGCCTGCTGGTTCAGGTTGTGGGCTTGAACTCACAGGTCCAAGTTCGGGTCTAAGCGGATTAGGCTCTTGACCTAGTCCCATAACAACATCATTAACTTATGTTCGATTTTTATTCTTAAGTTAGTAAGTTACCATAATACTACACTCATAATAACTTTAGTCATACTTTTTGTAAATAAATTTCAATTCACTAATATTTTTAAAAAAGGCTTGTCTACTCAAGTAAATAAAATGTGAAAATTCAAATATTTCTGAGTTGAAATCTCGTCAATTATAAATTATTATTATTACTATTATAACTATTATAAATATATTATTGTTAATTGTTATTACAAAGTAGATTGACATGTACATTGTTTTAGACAATGGAGAGTATGTTATTTTAACGTCCAAAAGTGAGTATTTATTAGCACAAATTACAACGTGAGATCATTACACTGTGCACACGGTATGCTGATCTCACTATTACGTATTTGCACTTTCTCCTTTTCTTCCTTGCAATCTATCATTTTTAATTTCTTTTTCATTGACTTCGTCTTCTTGATTTATTCTTTCTTCAATTCTTTTCTTCTTCTCCATCAAAATATTAAAAATTTAATTGCAATTTTACTCTTCTTTATCTTGAACATAAATTGCAACTCAATCTGTTTTTTTATTCTTTGTCAATTCATAACAAAAAATTATTAATCTAAATAAAATAAGTATACTGCACTCTTAGTTTTAAAAAGCGCGCCTGAGGCGCGCAAAGGCGTGAGGCGCCTTTAGGCGCTAGGTTAATCGCAATTCACTTACTCAGGCGGCTTAGGTTCTTAGAGGCGATCACCTTTCTCGCTTATTAGCGCCTTTTGCGCTTATGAGAGGCGAGCGCTTTTGGCGCCTCATGGACTCCAAGTCTCAGTCTTCAAAGACTCCAAGTCTCAGTCTTCTTCTTCGTTTCTTCCTTCTGCGGTCTTCCGATACATCTTGCGGTAGTTCTTCTTCCGACTTATCCGACTTATCTTGGGCTACTCTCTCGCGTCGCAGGCAAGTGTGTTTACTTTTTTTTGTCTTCTTCTATTTATTCTCTTTTATTTTAAGTTGTTATATTTATAAAAATATTAAGATTATTTAAATAAAAAGTTAGATAGCTGATACATACGTAGTATTATCTTTGGCTATTCATAAGTTTTGATAGATAACTGAAAAAAAGTTATAGCCTTTTAAGTTTGTAAGTTTTTTTAAGTATTTTAAGTTTCTAAATTTATAAAATTATTTAAATTTACAAATCTGTCTGTAATTAAATTTACAGAATTGTATTTGTGTGATAGTTTATTAATTAAATATGTATTATTTTATACTCCCTCCGTCCCCTTTTAAATGTCCAGGAAGAGGGTGGCACGAGTTTTAAGAAAAGTAGGTTTGTGTGGTTGATATTAATAGATAAAGTAAGAATAAAGTAAGAATAAAGTAAGAATGATTTTGAGCCACACAAACTTTACCAAATAAGGTATGGGACAATTAAATAGGGACATCCCAATATGGTAAAATGGGACATTTAAAAGGGGACGGAGGGAGTAGTATATTGCATAACAATGATAATATCATAATACTATATAATATATATTGTAGTGTTAGAACACTGATTTATTAACTATGTATTGCATAAAATGACAGTTTTTATTATTAACATTTTTGAACAATTTTTTATATAGCAGTTTATTACATTAATTATTTAAATTACTATTAATAGTTTTTATATAACTTAATTATTTAATTTATCACAGAATGACTATTAATTGTTTATTACATTAATTATTTAAATTACTTAAATATATTTCACCAAAGAAATGTGGTTGAGATCCGTGATGCGCGCGCCTCAACGCCTAGCGCCTCGCGCCTCGGGTGAATCAATGAAATCGCCTCAAGCCGCCTCGTGCCTTTTAAAACTAAGATTGCACTTCATATTCATATACTATTTTTATATTCCTACACTTTTTTGTAATATATTTTTTCATATTCATACACTTTTTTTTCTACTATAATCTATAAAACAAATGCATGTTGTCAGGTTGTACTATACTTTTCTTTGTGTTCAACATAAATTAGAACTCAATGTATTTAGTGTTTAAATTACGTTGTACACAGTTAATCAATTTACACAATTACATGTGGTCACCAATTTTCTATAGGGTATATCTCCATATTATAATTACACTCTCACTATTTCCATCAACTTTTTTTGATAATCTCACCTTTTTCATCATTATAATATTATTACGGTTTTACTTTTTTCATTAATACCATGCATGGTAACTTTAAAATTGACTTGTAATAACATACATGGTAGTCTTACAATACTTTTATGTTTAGTAATACATTATTATAGTCTCCTTATAAGTCTTACACACAGGGTAGACTTGTAATGACTTTTAATTAGTAATACATTAATGTTTAGATAGTCTCCATAAATAGCTCTACCTTTGGGCGGGATTTTGCAACCAAAAAGGTTTCTGTCCTTGTTCCTTTATATTTTTATAGATTATTATTATTCACTATTATTATTAGTTTCCTAAAGTAAATTTCCTAAAGTATTAGGTGTTAGTAGAGATATTCTAGTTTAGTTAATTTCCTAATAAAAGTATTGTAATAGAATTAGGGTTACTCTAGTACTAGACCACCAAGACTCTTGGGACTTGTATAAATAGAGGTGCCATATTAATGAATAAAATCATCTGGAGAATAATTCTTCTTATGCGCTCGATTGAACTGACAGACACTTCCTTTCCTAGGGTGGGAAGCTGTGTTATTTTTCCAACTGTGATACTTATCGTTCTTCTTCTTTTTCATCTCCCAACCACGCCCATAACAGGGCAGTCTTCCTCCAGAGCCTTGCATTTTGGGCGCCAAAAGTCCCAGGCAATTCTTCTTAGCCGTTTCTTAAATGGAAGCTGGGAGATTTTAGTGCAGTGACAGGGGCAGCAATTAGAAAAGGCAACATGGGAGCCACTTGATTCCGTCCAGGCGAGGATATCCTGCTTTCAAGCTTGAGGACAAGCTCTTGGTCGAGGGGAGTGATGTTACCGACTAGTTCTATGGCTGCACTTATTAACGAAAAAGTCAGTGTGGAACAGATGCACTTATTGACCAAAGAGGCTAAGCGAAAGAATCAAGCAAGCAGTTAAAGTCCTAGTAGTATCACTATAAATATTAGTATTAATTTGCAAGCAATTAGAATCCTAGTAGTATTAGTATTAATATAAATACTAATGCTAATTAATCCTACTTTAAGTAGTCTTCTTCTGTTGTAGTTATATTAGAATTCAAATAGCAGTTTAGTTTCCGATTTTGTTTTAGGAAACCCTTAACAACTATATATGGGATTCTCAGTTAAGTTAGTAAATAGCTTTTGGGAAATTAACTTTGGGATTTCTTGACTAGGTCAGAGATCGGATTAATTCCGTTAAGCCCCTTAATTTTCGTTACTCTCTTTGTACTTAATTAAAAATTGATTAAGAAACATCTATGTCCTTCTGTGATCGTTCAGATCAGACTTCACCCTCGGCCTTGGACTAGGTCACTTACTCGTGGTGCCCTTAACAGAATAATTATTCTATAGCTTAAGCTTTCCAACCATCGCCATTATCACTGCTCTTTGCAGAGTTAATGTGTAGTGTGAACTGTGAATAATACTATAACATCTTAGAACTTTTGAATTGCAGGTAATTGTATTTGAGCGTGGAGATCTGGTGTTTGTATTTAACTTTCATCCAGAGAAAACATACGAGGGGTACACTTGTCTCTCCAGTCTGATCCATTTGTTTGTATATGAGAGTGTTTATGAATGTTATGCTGATTCAAAGCGCAAATTCAATCAAAACCAAGTTAGAGGTGCAATTTACATACCCTTGTTTTGATCCTTAATTGAAACATGCCAGGTACAAAGTTGGATGTGATTTGCCTGGTAAATACCGAGTTGCTTTGGATAGCGATGCCTGGGCCTTCGGTGGACATGGAAGGGTGAGGAGGTTTATAATTTTATATATTAAGAGGTTTTTCCTAAAATATTTCTTAGAAAAAAATCAAAGACGAAAATATGACTTAGTAACTTCTAGTGACTATAATTGTGTTCAGAGTTACATCATACGTAGTATTAAATTCGTATTCTCTTTCTATGCATTAAAGTGATAATTAAAACTAGTAAAGCTAAGCTTAAATAGATTAATAGATATAGGGAACTTAGTCATTTTTTAAAGTGATAATTAATTGTGTGACAAACATCCATCCATTAGTTTCTCTGTAATAAAAGTAGTAAAGCAAAACGTAATAGATATAGGGGAACTTTATCATTTTGGTACGTATATTACTTTAGTAGATTGCTACATGCCCACTTATGAACGAAATGTGATTAGTTAATGCGACAGTTATTGCGGGTAAAAGGGCATCATTAGCGTATTCAACTGTAAGGATTTTGCCTTTGGTAGAACATATACATATAAATAATGCCCACTAATAAATATCTATCGAAAAAATTTGGAGTAGTTTTATATATTTGAAGGACAACTCAAACTTTATCGACTTTAAATGTTAAAATAAATATATTTAAAAACACTAAAAGTTATTAAGTACTCCCTCCGTTTCTGAAACAAGTTCCACCTTTCCTTTTCGGGCAGATTCAAAATTAAGTTCCACTTTCAAACATTTCCTTATTTGGCAAATTATCTACATCAAAACAGTGTGAAACAGTGTTCAAACAGTGCCAAACAGTGCTCAAACAGTGCCAAACAGTGTACTCCACAGTAAAGTCAAATTTATTTTCTTAATATGTGTGAGGTCAAATGTGGAACTTGTTTCAGAAACGGAGGGAGTAGTATATTGAGTGGGTAAAAAAATTGTTTTGCCTTAAGAAACTGTAACCTATATAACAAAAATGAAAAATAATAATATTTAATATATATTGCTTTAAAAATAACCTATACAAACATATTAAAATTTATGAAAAACTGTAATCTATATGGAAATATTTCTCTTGTATTAAATGCTTCTTTTTTATATTTGTTGCATAGTAAGGTTAATATATTTTCAAGATAAAAGTTTTGTTAAGGTTTTAGTATAAATTTAGAAATAATGATGAATATATGATTGAAATGAAGACAGTTGACAAAAATGTATTTTTTAATCCTTTAGTGACTATAAGAGTAACTTTAAGTGACTATTAGTGTGTTCAATTTAACATTTTTGTGACCATGATGGTATATTTAAGCAAAGACCTTTTAAATTTAAGGTTTGTGTTGCAAGATTCTAGTAAATGTGTTGCATTTTCAAAAGAATCATTGGTATACACGCTAAATTTCTCTAAGAACAGTATTTTTTACTTTCCCCCCATTTTTTGCTCTCAATATGTGAATTAATTACCTCATGTTTTTAAATAGATTTATTTTCGTTTAAAATCAAATAAAGCCTTTGAAAATATTAAGGGTGTTTTTGCAATGTAAAAGACATTAGTGGCTTATCCCATATTAAAGGGGGCGTGTTCACTGTTGGGCATATTAGCTTGTTTGATCAAGAAGGGATACAATCATACAAATGGGTAATGCATCCCTTTACAAGGGTACACACCCAAATACCAATTTGTACATGCCTTGTACACGCCTGCATATTCTATTTGTGTTATAGATAACTTTTGTATGGTGTGTACAAATGGACGTGTACAAACATATTTGTCCTTATCTATTTGAGAGAGCGTGATGGACACATGTGTATGCATATATATGGTGGACAGGTGGGCCATGATGTGGACCATTTCACATCACCTGAAGGAGTGCCCGGAATTCCAGAGACAAATTTTAATGGTCGTCCAAACTCTTTCAGAATACTCTCTCCTGCTTTGACATGTGTGGTAAGACCTCCCTTTCCCCAAAAAGTCAATCTAATGTGTACCTTTAGTTCTATATTTTCTAAAGGGTCAAATAGACCTTTGTACTTGTCACGGTTAACCGTATTCACCTGTAAAAATGAATTTTGAATGGTTTTTTTAATTCAGGGTGCAAATACTTTTTTTAATTCTGGGAATCAGGGACTGAATTGAACAAACATGATAGGCAGAGGGTCTATTTTTAAAATCGGGATAACCCCATTTAAACCGGTACATAGTTGTTATGGCAATGGCGACGGTGATGGTGCACATGCATTTGACAAAAAAAAAACTAAAAAAATGAATTATAGACACTATAACTGTATCACCCAACCACCATACTATGATAAGACAAGTTGAATAACAATATTCTAACCAAAACATGTGAAGTTAAATATCAAGGTAAGGGTCAGACTGGTCCTCGAAATTGCATAAAAAGGATCAAATAAGTCCTTACTGTCCGGCCGTCGCCATTTGGGGAGGTTCCCGGTGGATTTTTTTGATGAATTTTTTTGAGCATCTTATTCATTAAGTCTAGTTTACTCATACCAAATTTCAGCTAAAACTTCAATCGGGAAGGAATTCAAATGAATTCTTGAAAGTAACTGCGCAGTTATCTTCAAGACTTCATTTGAATGTCTTCCCGATTGAAGTTTTAGCTGAAATTTGGTATGAGTAAACTAGACTTAATTAATAAGATGCTCAAAAAATTTCATCAAAAAATTCCACCGGGAACCGCCCCGAATGGTGACGGCCGGACAGAGCCTCCTATATAAGAACTTATTTGACCCCCTTTTATGCAATTTCGAGGACCAATCTGACCCTTACCTCTATATATATTCCTACAAGTCTACAACATATGTGTATGTATATAATTAGCTTATGTAATCAATTAAACAGAATAAAAAAGCTAAGTTATTTTACTTATTTATAATAGTAAACAACTAAGTAATCTATTAAGCATACGAAGTATATAATATGTAATAAATTGTGTATATCTATAATAAACACAATATTCAAAGGTAACTTTATTTCGAATTAATACAACAACAACAACAACAACAACATCCAAGCCTTAGTCCCAAAAGATATTAGGGTCGGCTAACATGAATCGATACATGATATCACAACCAAAAGGAAAAGAAAGAAAATAAAGATAAAAAAGATAAGCTATTATAAAAAGATAATATAAAAAGAGATGAATATACATAAAAATGATAAAATAAAAAGGCTACAAATAATGCTTACCAGATAATTCAGAATATTCAAACAATAAAAATAAAATGATTTAATCGTATATTGTATTAATAATAAGTTAAGCTATTTATTAGTTTACTTTAAATAATCAATAAAATAGAATAAAAAACAATATGGAGGTCACGGTCAGGAAGGGAACAAACAACTGGGGATTTGACTTAGAGAGTAGCCCGTCGCTGGCGAGTCGTGACTTGAGGTTGATGCACTATGGGATTCAAAGGTGATACATAAAATTTCTGAATGTTTCCCATGGATTCCAGATGCTTCGATCCAGATGATTCAACTGGGACGCAAAGAGAGTAGCCCGTCACCATGGCGCCGGCGCCCAAATGGCGTCGCCACTGGTATAGGTATCGCCATGCCCACATTTCATGGCGCGGGGGGGGGGGGGGGGGGGGGGGGAATTGTGTGCCTATGTAGCACGGAAACTCTTGGGAAGGAGTACGTTTCCGTTTCGGAAACTCTACGGAAACTCTTGGAAACTCTCCAAACAAGCCTTTTTTGGGCAACATTTGACGTTTCCCGTTTCCTCATGACTTTCACGTTTCCGTGCAACATAGTTGTGTGCCACATGGCGCACACGCCATACAGCGCCATCAACAACCATGAACCAGGATAACCCCATTCAACATGTGCTCCTTATGAGCATGCTAATCCTACCCGGGTGTGTTTTTGACATCAAACCTAGCCTATTATACCGCTTGCCCTTAACCGTTAAAATTAAGCTACCGATAGTGAAAAATTCAAGCAAAGTTTCAGGGATACTGTGTTTTGATAAAAGTACTCTATGTGAGGAAGTTTCGAGCCACCTTACGTCATTCATTCTTCTCTTAAAGGGTGGCATTCCCTGAGCCTTTCACGGCTCCTATCCTACCCTAATCAATAACTTTATATCTGCTATTTGTTCCCTCTCATTTTGCCTTTATGATTGGTGTAGAAAAAACTTTCTTTTAATCCCTTGTCTAACTTTGATGGCATTGCATTTCACTCATTTGTGAAGGCCTATTATAGGGCTGAAGACAGCACAGACGATGTGACTGCCAACAAAATTAAGACCACGTCAACCAATCTGGTGTTGGTGGCAAGTGTGGAGGATCTCCAAGAATTACCTACCGTAAATAATAATAGCATTGACAGTAAAAGCGAGACAGAAAAAGATGTGCAGGAGTAGAAAGTAATGAATATAGATGAAGATAGGCCAGAAGAACTCTGAGATGAAGTGCCCGCTAGTAAAACTGTAACCATGTGCACCAGTGTAGCGTCTGTGAGTGATGAGGAGCCACAAGAATCTCTCGCCACAAGTAATAGCGGTATCTGTGAAAGCAAGACACAAGGCCCGGAGGATAATATAATGAATGACTCTTGATGATGTCCAGACATATATTAGAAAAACATATTATCTCAGCCAATTCAAGCGGACAAGAGAATTTGGATTTGCATGTATTAAAAATTTCCATAAATCCTCTTCAACAAAAAAAAAACCATAAATCTATGTACGTTATCAGGCCTGCTGTGCATATTAGCAGGGGTGTAGCCAGGACATAGAAGATGAGTGGGCCAGGTTATCACTATGAGTTATTATCATATTAAATACGCCATATAATTCTTAAAATATAAAAACACAATTAACTAAAGTACATTACAAAACTAATCATAGAAGAGGCCTGTAATAATCAATTATTTCTATTACATTCCCACGACTCAAATATTTTCCAAATTCATCATGATTCATGACCTTTAAAGCACAACCCAGTAATGCTAGCCATTGAACAGTCATGATTGATGTCTTTAAACACGATCAATTTTTTTATGCTTCTTTGTTCACTCTCAAATCTCAATCACTTTGTCAATGTGTTGAGCCAGTTTCATAAAGAATCAACACGTGCAACACATTTAATTTATTATGAGAAGATGAAGAAAAAGAACCAGATTTTGCCAAAAAGAAGAAGAAAAACAATAAGAAGAAATGCACAATCCTTTCTCTGGTGAGCTTACCGGTGGATGGAGCTGTGTTCGGGCCGGGACTGGGTAGGCTTCGGGTCTGGTAAAACCAGTCCCGGTACCGGCTTGATTATATACTGGGACTGGGTCAGGTTGGGCAACCCAGTTGGGCTTTGGGTCGGGTCTAAAACTAATTCACAAGTGCTACCAAAAAAATCAATGTGTTAGAATATTATTTTATTGTGTTCAAATTAATTGTAATTTAATTAATGAGTCTTTGTATTTAATTAGATTAGCTGAGAGAGAATTAGGCTTGATTTAGATGCTCTACATAGCCCACACGCACGGCTCACTTTGTTTCCTAATTGTATTAGGCAGTTCGAACATCTCTCCTATAAATACAGGTTGAGATGACCGAAAACTGCTAAGCCTCTACACAATCTATTTCCGCATATTATTCTCTCTAGAACCAGTAGATTAGAAATTCTCTCTCAAACTTATTCGTTCGATTACTGTGTACTTGTGTAGCGTTCTTCACGGATTTATCATTATATATACACGGTATATGTTATTGGTGAGATTTCTCTTTTACTGTTTAAATTCTTCCAATTATTATTAGATTATTCGACTGTTGAAATTTGGACATACATCAAACAATTGGTATCAGAGTCTCGGCGCAATTCTGTTCTTGAGAATCCTTGAATTTTTCTGAATTAATTTAATTAAAAACACAATTTTTGGTTGAATTAATCTCTAGATTTGTTCTTGGAAACTTACTGTTTTAGAAGGTTTCTACAACAAGGAAGGAGTATCCCAGTAAAGATCAAGTTACCTAATTGTCGCTCATCCGAGATCATTAAGAATTCGCCCATCCGAAATCCTGAGATTTTTGAAGCCCTGAAATTGTAACTCTGCAGGTCATCCGAACTTAGCACATCCGAGTTTCTATTTTTCGAAACCCAAAATCAGTATTCCGAAATCATTATCTCTGACGCCCGAAATCATCTCCTAATTCAGAATCTCGGAAGACTGAAATCTTAATCCGAGTTTCCAAATTTGGAAACCCGAAATCAGCTTCTCCGAAATCATTATTTTGGACATCCGAGATCGTCATCTGGGATCAGCATTACCGAAATCCTTTTATTTCATCCGAAATCTTCTAAAGCAGCACCAAAATCTTTCTTAATGAAGGACCACTCGAAGTTTGGGTTGATGTTTCAGCCATCACAACAAATAATCCTCCCACACCAGCTAGTAAAACATTGAAATCTGAGGAGGATTACACTGAACCCGAGAAACTGAGAGCAAAGGCTGATCTACTTGTTGCTACTTATTTGTTACAAGCCATTCCCAATGACTTGTTTATGCAAATTGATAGCCTTACCACTGCTAAGGATTTGTGGGATGAGATTCATCAGATCATGCAAGACACTGATGTTGGAATTAAGTCCAAACGAGCACACACCATGACTGTTTATGACTCCTTTGCTGCTAGACCCGATGAAGAGATGGAAGATCTCTATCAACGCTTTCTCACAGTCCTTAATGAGATGAAAAAGATCAACATCCGCAAAACCAACATGGAAGTTAACCTTCGCTTCCTAAGGTCTCTCAAGCTCGAATGGAAGAAAACAGCCAAACGAATCAGACAAAACAAAGATCTAGACGAGCTGACCATCCACAATCTCTATGACTGTCTAGGGGAATTCTCTGAGGATATTCGTGAAAAGATCAATTCTTCAAAGGGAAAGAACATTTTTGACACACTTGCCCTCCTCTCAACTGAGAAGAAGAAGGAAAAAGCCCCTAAAATTTCCTTTGAAGATGACTCATCCGATGAAGAGAAAAACATGTCTGATTCTGACCCGGAGATTAATGAACTAAAGAAACAGCTGGCCTTGCTAACCAACATGACGAGGAAAATAAACAAGAAGTTCACTAGGTTCAGAAATCCTGCCACAAACAACAAACAAAGAACTTCTTCCTCAAATTATTCTGAAAGAGTTAACACACCATTAGATAAGGCTGTCAACAGTGACTCAATGAAGTGCTTTAAATGTGGCAAGCCTGGACACTTTGCTAAAGAGTGCCTATCTGCCAAGAAGAAGGATTTCAACTACTACATGCAGAAGGCACAACTCGCTAAAAAAAAGGAGCAAGGGGTTGTCCTAATGGCTGAACATGATAGCTGGCTCGAAGATTCTGAAGATAGTGAGCCTGAGAATCTGGCTCTAATGGCAAGAGTAACTGGATGTGGAAGTGATAGTGAAGACTCTGAAGAAGAAGACAATGCTCCTACATCTGTTGAAAATGAGGTAAGTAATCTAAACTCTTTAATCTCTCAACAAAACCACAAAATGAAAGAGTTAATCACTTCTCTAAAAAGAGAGAAAAACAAGATAAAGGAACTGGAAGACAGACTTGATAACAATCAAAAGGTTCTGAAAAAACAAGTGTTAGAGGGAGCTCTTGAACCCGCTCGCTTCAAAGACTCGCGTGAAAAAGTTTCTAAGTTAGAGTCAGAAGTAACTAAGCTTAACCAAACTGTTAGTGACTTAACTAAAGAATGTGATGAGAATAAACGACAACATTCTGAAGCTATTATTCGATATGATCTTATTAACAAAGAACGAGGTCAACTTTACTCTAAGATAAAGGAATTAGAGGACATCTTAGCCAAGAAAGGTCAAACCGAACAGACAATTCATCTTTTGAACAATAAAATCAAGGATACTCAGTTTTACAATCCTAGAGAAGGACTAGGTTTTCAAAACCCTGAGAATTTGAAAAAGGTTGATTGCATTCAATTGTACGACATAAGGTACATGAACATAGGGTTGACTAAACTTATGAAATTCACTAGAGCTTCTGAAACTATTGAGGAAGAAGAGGATAAAAGGAAAAATAAGGCTAAAACTGAAATTAGTTTTGATTATACTGTTCTCAATGACAGCTATGCCACTAGAGAAATTCCTTTGTCAAATGACTATCTTACCCATTCTCCTCCTGAGAATCATAACATGTCCAGTGAGGAAGAAGCCTCAACCTCAAAAGTTTTTGAACCCTACGTTCCTCCTCTTGTTAATAAATTAGCTGACATTCACTCATCTTTTGAAGCGGAACGTGAAAAGTTTAAACTTGAAAAGAAAAATCTTTTAAAGAAAATTTCTGAATTGTCTGACGATCTTCTCAAAGCTCACAATCTCCTGAGACTTCCTTTTCTAATAAGCTCATTCCTGCATGCTTATTCTTCCTTCTGTCACACGCTTTCTTTCCACACGAGCGCATCTATCAATAGGTTTATTATGCATAACAAAGTAAATAATTCAGCACCATAAGACAATATTATTATTCTATTGAATCCTCTGTTTACCATGAGTATTTATAAACGTAGTTTCATATTGCAATTGCAATTAAGAGACATAACCGATGTAATTAATGATTCTTAATCATAATAGAACCCATCAACGTTCATCCTGTAACCTTCATATTAATATCTCCTTGATGCCTACGTCTCCTCAAGTGATTTTTGCCATTGCCAGTTATCAATCACAGATTCAATGCCACGTAAACCCTATGTAGAGTTTGACCTCCACGGAATTCCCACTGGGCCTAATGCCACGTAAACCCTATAAGGGAAAAAATGAAAAGATCAAGAACATGAAAAAGACAAAAAAGTTAAAAAGATAAAATTGATGAAAAGAGATCAATGCTTCATATGAATATTCTTCATTCATTCTGCTCACTCGAAAATTACTCTCTCATCCAACATAAGAAGAACTATGTAATAGATGTTACTACGTATAACTTAGATGAGTTGGGAGGTGTGAAGAGGTGGTGAAGATGGGAGGAAGAGGGAGAGGAAGATCCCAAAAAATGTTTACTAGACGAGCATTAACTTTATGTAGGTTACTTGAGAAAGTTAATAGAAACTAATAAATTCAATTTACTTTTTCATTAGTTGCACCCCAAGTATATAATGTGTTTTGTTTAGGAAATAATTTGGAACATATAACCAAAACAAGAGTAATGGATAAAAAGTTACCCGATAAAAAGTTACCCTAAATCCCTTATCCCTAATAATTTTAGTGACTATAAATGTATTAAAATGTTACATCATAGTGACTATAAAACTTATATATAATAACTTATAGGAGAAAATTCCATTTTTGGTCCCATGACTATTATGCCACTTCCACATTAATCCCCTGAGTTTCAATTTAACCAAATGTAGTACTTGACCTTTTCCACATAACCACCCGTGCTCCTTCCGACCACAATTCCGGCTAAATTTAACCGGAGACCAATTAACGAACATTTATTGGGGGCATTTTAGTAAATTTAAATTACAAAAAAGGCTACCTAATAAACTACTCAATTAAGTTAACTAAATGGTGAGCTAATATCGTCGTCTCCCTCTACCTCAAAAACCGAACTCTCTTCTCCCTCTGAAGAAAGTTTCCGTCAGCTTGAGAAATCCCCAAAACCGTTCGAACAATGAGGACCCGTCTGGACCGCCGGTGTGAAGGAGAAGGAACAAGTGTTGAACGGCGTTCTCTGACAAATGCTGGTGATAAAAGTAAGAGGGTGAACTTTTTTAAAAGAGTGGAAGAAAATAATGAATATAAGGCTGAATTGAGGTTTATATATACGGTG